TCTCACGACTTCTCCAACCTTAACCATGCTTGTGATTCTGCTACTGACATTTCCTCTCTGTTGCCGTTGTCGTTGCCTCTCTTCGTTGTCGCTGCTCTCCGCTGTCGTTGCGTGCTGTCGCTGCTCGCCGCTGCTACTGCCGTTGCCACTATCGTTGCTCGTCGCTCTCGCTCCTGCTGCCGTTGCTCGCTACTACCATTGTTGCTTCTCTCAGTCAGCAACCTCAGTCTTACTCACTATTATCGTCGCTCTCGTTGTCGCTACCGCTACTTGCCGCTACTGTTACTCTTACTCCCTCTTCTCACATCGACTCGATAGTATACTGTTAACAGTATACTATTAATTGTATACTAGTAATAATATTTTTTTATTTATTAGATTAATAATATATTATTTTAATTTTAATACTGCTAATTTTTATTTATTTGAAATTATTGTTATTGTTTTGAATTTTGAGATTTTTTGTTAATGTGATATTGTGATTCTGTAAGATTTTTTAATTTAATATTATATTTTTATTTAAATAATTATATTTATTAATTATATTATATATTTTTATATTTTAGCAAAATCGGTTGAGCGCCTAGCGCCTTGTGCGTTTTTGGACCTTGGCGCCTAGTGCTTTTTAAATCACTATAATGAAGGTTTTTTTTGGATTAATTCATTCCAATATGCTGAGTAATTTAGAAAGCTAGTAATTCCCAAACCATATAGAATAATGACATTCATACAGAAAAGGCGCCAAATAACTCGAGATGGTTTTCTAGAGGATGGAAAGTCGATATACCAAATGGGAAGCTAGCTCCCTTGAATTATTTTTCTTTATTTTAATATATGTCCTATAATTACACCATATCTTTTATATCTTTCCCCTTACTTTTTGAAATTCCTCTTTTATTATCTTAATGAAACAAGTTTCAGTAGTCTGCTGGTTATCTGTGCCTCAAAAGAAAATGCAAGATGGTTTTGGTTCTATTATTTAGGATTCATTAGATTCATAAGCTTGATTATTGGGCTACTTGTTTGCAATCAACATTTTATCTGTTAGTATGGAGTATTTTCATAATGTGAACCGGTCCATTATTCTCATTATAGATTATTGTTTGTGTGTCTAATTGAAATTATAAACTTAGTCATGCATCTACTTCTTGTTCACTTTTTTTTTAATTACTTTAAGTGCTCTGATTTGCATCTTTGTTGATCTGTTCCAAATCTGCTTGACAGGCATATTCAATATCAGCTATCATGAAAATTTGTGCATTTGAAATTACTGCAGGAAGGAATGTGGAAATGTTGCCTGAGGTAACTGGTTTTTTTCTGCTTAAATTCGGGCTGGATTTTCAAGCTTGTTTAACTGTTCATCACCTGTGCAGTGTCAAAGCCTAATTGATGAACTGTCTGCATCACATTCGACAGACTTACAGCAACGTGCATACGAACTACAAGCCTTGCTATGCTTAGATAGTCAAGCTGTTGAAAGTGTCATGCCACTAGATGCAAGCTGTGAGGACATTGAGGTACATGCACGAGTAATTCCATTCTGATGGTCTTTTATTTTTTCCCATTCTTGAGTTTTTGAATGCTACATGTTGTATATATATTCACAATCATGATTTTATGTCTCAATACTGGACCCTGTGCTGATTCCTGGCTGGACTAGTATAGGTTTAGTAGATACGGGCATACTGACACCCGATATACAAGCATACCGGTTGGCACTGAGAAAGAAAGGGGAATGATGAACCATGTGGGAAGGTGGCAGTGGTGGCAAACGGTGAGCAAATGTGAGGCAAATCGGGAGAGAACGAAATGAGTGAGCAAGAGAGAGAGAGAGAGAGAGATTAATAAATAAATAGCAACAACTGTCAAAAGTCAAAAACATAAAAATATGATTTTTAGAAGAGAGATGATCAAGCAAGAGATAGACAAAGAGAGAGAAAACCTGATAGTAAGTCTGGTTTTCGCAAGTTATCAGATGATAACCTAGTAACCATACTGGACCTGACGATAAACCATGGTCTGCATGCGTATTCAAACCTGAACTAGTAAATACCATTCTGTACACGTTGGTCCAGACAAATTCTGATACCATGTACACAATATTTAATGTTCAATATTAAACGAGGTCAAAAAATAGGATGTAAAGGATAAAAATAGGTCTGCGTATAAAATTGCAGCCTTGTTGCAATTTCTTGTTAAAATTTAGCTGTCAGACATTCACGTACTACACTGGCTGTGATATGCTGAACACCTTTGATGATTTGGTTTTCCCATTTATATGTCAAGTCAATTCTTCGCAGAAAGCTTAAACTACCTTGAAGAGGCTTTTATATGGTCTGCTAATATTTAAGCAAATTGCTCTCTGCAATTGAACCACGAATTATGACAAAATTAGTGTCATTTATCTAATTACGCCCTCTCATATTATTTATCTATTCATGGCAGTTCCATCCGACCATTTTAGTTTGCTGATAAAAGTGTTGTCATTGCAGTTTGATGGGAACCTCTCATTCTTGAACAGTTTTGTTCAACAATCAATTGAAAAGGGAGCAAGGCCTTACATTCCTGAGAGCGAACGATCAGGCACGTTCAGTGTCAGCAATTATAATAGCCAATACCAGCATGAAGCTTCAAGCCATACGCTTAGGTTTGAAGCATATGAACTCCCGAAACCCTCACCTACACCTGCTACACCTCAAATCTCAGTTTCAACACGAACTACTGATCTTGTTCCAGTGCCTGAGACGACTTACTACTATACAGAAAATAACCAGGCTTCTAAGTTACCACCAGTCTCCGATGCCTCTTCCGCAGATCATGGAATTAAGCTTCACCTCGATGGTGTTCAGAAGAAGTGGGGTAGGCCTACATATTCGTCTTCTTCATCTAGTACTTCTTCGGAGAAGAAAACAAATGGAGTTACCCGTATTGATGGGGTTAGCTCACCGTCACGAGGTACCTTGTATGATTCAAAAGGACAACAGTCTGAAGTTTCAGCTGAAAAGCAAAAGTTAGCAGCTTCACTTTTTGGTGCCTCAGCTGGTAAAACTGAGAAGAAACTGGCATCCACCCAAAGGGCGCCCAAGGCTACCACAGCAACTGCTGAGAGACCAGGTGTTACTAGAGCTGTCAGTCCTGAGATTTCCAAACAGAAAGCTGCTTCTTCTCCCCCTCCTGATCTACTTGATTTGGGTGAACCAATCACTACTACCACTCCAACTATAGATCCCTTTGAGCAATTGGAAGGGCTGATAGGGCCAACACCGGGCCCATCAACGCTCGATAACTCTGTTACAACTAGTGAGCAAAAGGCACCTGATCTGATGACATTGTACACAGATACACCACCATCAAGCAACAGTTCCATCAGTTCGGCTTTGGGAGACATACATTCCTCTGATAAGAACTCGCAAATGGCTAAAAATGTGCCATCAATAAAGAAAGGCCCAAATCCACAAGATTCTTTGCAGAAGGATGCAACTGCAAGGCATGTGGGTGTGACTCCGACGGGAAATAACCCCAACTTGTTCAGGGACTTGCTGGGCTGAAAGGCACATGGTGTGGTTCCCGCATTGCAACACTTCACATGGATCTTGATGTGAATCCCATGTTTGATGATAGGCCTCTATGACTATGGTGGAATCTTTGACATTCGAGGGAGTGCCCAACTGGTTATTTGTTTGCTTGCATCCGTTTGGCCATACTGGAAAGCCGTGCGTTCGAGGGTTGTAGAGAAGATGTCATGGGTTTTTAGATGAGTCCTTGTATTTAAGAGGCTAAAGTTAGGAGTATATGTTCTGTAGTGTTGTTGTATGACTTGGTAGCCAAATTGTTGGTGCACTTTTTTCTTGTAGAAAGGGACTTCAATGCACATGATAGGGAAGCCATCATTGAACCAATGGCTGGATGTGTGAGCTTCTTCTCCATGAGAGATGTGTTTCTTTTATTCTCCCCTTTTTTTCTGTGGATTCAGCTTCTGTTGAAATAAACATTAAAGTTGTCTATGTATTTTTTTTCTTACATCTGCTGCTTGTGCAAAAGCACTATTTATACTTTTTGGCTCTACCCTCGTACCAAGGAACGGTGACATTTTGATTCAGACTATAAAGATTTATATTAGACATCAATTTATATCAGTCTTGTGAAGCAGTCATACTGCAAAAAGGATACTCGAATGCCGCAGCAGATCTCCAAATTGGCATTCTTTTGAGGGCAAATTTCCTGAAAGAATGGGGCGGAGGCCACCGCAAGGTAGCGGGGTAGAGGTATCGATCGATGGGGGCAAACATCAAGATTTCTAAATGAAATTTATTCTTTTAATTGTACAAACATATTCATTTGTCGACTAAGTCCTATTTCCGATCTAACATGAGGAAATCATATGCTATTTTCACTAAAGTTTATCGTACGATAGTATATTGTATCACTCGATATGACTAATATGTACTAGTCAGATAAGGAACTGATATGGATAATACATTGATACACCCCCATGTGTCATATGTCAATACGACTAGATACAGTTCGATACATATCGTACCATATCATTCGATATGACTAATATGTACCAGTCCGATAAAGAACTGATATGGATAATACATTGATATACCCCCATGTGTCATATGTCAATACGACTCGATACAGTTCGATACATATCGTACCAATAATTGATCGGTACATAATAGAAATCGGTAAGACGATTTTTATCACTTACAATTACTAAGAACTTTTGTGCCTCGAGTCATTTTCGTTTCCTATATTAAATTTTATCTCTCATTACCAACCTTCTTTATAAGCAAACACTATTTATGCTTTTGGCTATATGCCCCAAGACGCAGTAACACCGTGATATTTTGATTCAGAAAATAAGGATTTATGTTTGAGCATCAATTTATATGATTGTTGATGTATACTAACTGCTCCAAGACACAGTAACAGAATCTTATTTTGATTCATAAGATAAGGATTTATGTTTGAGCATCAACATAAAAAAAGTATGATTGTTTTGAACAATTATTCCTCCCAAATGAAAATATAAATGCCAAAATACTGTACAATCAGCGGACATAATAATCTACAACAGAGGAGAGGACAAAATGAATCAAGCAACAGAGAGTGGATGCTACACACCATTAGAACCGGATCTAGCATCCTTCCTCTTGAGAATGACGGACCAAGTGACGACCTCCAAGAACAAGGCAATGCCACCAAGAATGGCAACTGCAATGATGTATCCCATCGTCCATTTATGATCGACGCTCAATATCTCCAGGCCTTTGAAGACGTTGACAATGCCCAAGACGATGACGGTGTATCCCACCAAGTAATGATAGATGTTCCAAATAAATCTATACTTGTGATCCTTGCTCGGCCTCAGAAACAGTGCAAAGACCTGTAGAACACAAATTAAACCATAACACAGATCCAAATCAGTCATTCTGTCAATCATCAGAAGATTTGAATAGCCCAACCAATTTAGAAAAGCAGCAACGATAGAAGAGAATGTGAAGCAAGGAAGATTCTACATATAACTAACAACTCTTTTTCAAATCTAAAATATAAGATCATCAAAGAAGAAATCGAGACGGAATAAAGAAAAAACTCTCGTCAAACTTCTGAAAGGACTTGCAAGAACTTAAAATCCAATATTAGTCGTCTTATTCAACTCTTTTTGGTTTTATAAAGATATAACTTTAATCTCTACAGAAAAATCATCCAGAGAACTTTAAATGTGTATAAAAATAAATTTGATGCCAACTTTTATAAATATAGCAAAATAAGTGATATTTGTCTTACCTGTAAGGTGCCAAGACAGAAAAGTATTATGCCAATGTTGCGGTGAGTGGTATACTGAATTCCCTTAGATTTGCTTCCAAGATTGAGACCAATAGCCCAGCCACCAACTCCAACGCCATAGCCAACAATCTGGCACGTTACATGGAGATAAAACCATGCAGGGTCTGCAGATTTGAATGTTTTCAGATATCTGGCAATGATTGCACCGATTGGAAGCATAATCCCCCAACTCACAGCATTCAGAACTCCATGTACCTATATAGCAGGCAGCTAGTGAACATTCATATGCATTCATAATGATTGCAATACACAAAAGGAATAAGCAACATTAGACGAGCCAAGTTCAATCCGGCTACTAGGAAATTATGATTGGATTTAAGATTACAGATATTGCAGGTTGGTCTTCCATATTGAACTTTATATCTCTACATGCTGCAAATTGGTTTTCCAAACTGAAATCATGGTCATTTGACACCCCTTTTCTGCCAAACTTGCATATTGTTTCTATTGTTGAATTGTGTTGAGTCTATCAAACAAGTCATCTTCTAGTTACTGGCAGTTCCAACATGCCAGTAACTCAGCTAACTTACAGGAACATATTTCATCTCAATCAGTAATGTTGAAATAAACATATCAGGATTGAATTGTCAGACATGGCAAACTTGAATGGCGCTCCATCCTTGAAATATAAACAGAGCAGTGCGTAGGGATAGTGACAGGCAAAAGACATGTTCTCCTTGTCTTTGGAGAGCATGGACTATCAAGTGCTCGATGCCATCAAACTATTCACTATAGCTGTGGTGCCAGCAGTGGTCAAAAGCAAGAGATATATTTCAAGAGCTTAGAAATGGAAACCCCTATCTGATGAAGTTAATGTTGTGCAAGTTGAAAGCTATTGAGAGGACATCATCATGTAGTGGAATAAGCAAAGTCAAGATAAAAAAAAATTAATAAGAAGAGGATAAATAGCATGAAAGAACACTTATAAGTGTGAATCAAATATGGAATAAGCAACAATAAAAATAATCCTCAATTTTGTAGCATAAATGCAAGAAAAAGAAAAGGCAGCAGATGCAACAAAAGGACTACAGAAGAAAGAAAAACCACAGAATTCAAACAACGTAGTAGATGCTCGAACTTGATTCCAAAATGCCACAGTCAAATAATGCAAAAATGAAGTTAAACTAGTGAATAAAAGTTCTTAATTCTTATTAGTGAAGATGAAAAAAGGGGCATATGTATATATATTCAACACAAACAAGCCAAATCTGAAATTTCTTATAGAAGACTGCAGGTAGACACTACATCATGTATCAAGAAACAGAGGCCGCGTGCGCAATATCTTGTACTCTATCTTTAAAGAAATTTACATATCAATTTCCACACCCTAAGACAAAAAAAACAAAAAACAAAATTTAAGCAACAACAAAAATTGGATATTCCAAATCAACTTGTGAATTTGTAATTTTTTGTCATAAAATCTCCACATAAAAACATCAATTCAATATTAACTTTAGATGAAGATTTCTAATAAGAACATATTAATTTCCACATCCTAAGACCAAAAACAAAATTTTGAGGAAAGATACTCTACCTTCTAAAACACCTCAATTCAATCCAAAAGAGTTTTTTTTTTTTTCTAAAGGAACAAAAATATGGATGCTAAAAATTTTGCTCACGTTCTTTTTAACGTTAGTGGAACCTCCGGATGGGGAGATGGCTCCCTTGATGAGATCCAGCGTCCCCTTGGACTGCAAATTATCCGGCTGGAAGCCGTGCTTTTGGGGGACGCCGTCCGCCACCGACGACCCCACCTGCCACACCTGCTTCACCACCGTCATCCCTGCCGGCAGCTTCAGCTTCCCGTAGAGCCGCATCGCCCCGCCGGAGTACTCCGCCGCCAGATTCGACGCATTGAAGTCGATCGGCCCCTCCGCGATGGACGCGTACCCGGTGATGTTGTAGGTACGCACCCCCATCGACCCGTCGGGTTGGTGGAAAGCGATCAGGGCCTGGGACCCCAACATGCCGTCGGCGGTGGGGTTGATCGCCCACGACACCCACCCTTCCGGTTTCGCGGGCGGCGCGACGAACGCGAAGGAGAGGGTAGCGGCGGCGGAGTCGTAGGACCAGTGGATCGAGGAGGAGTGGCGAGGGAGGTCGCTGCAGGCGGCGTAGAGGCGGTTCGAGGGGAAGGCCACGGACGAGCACCCGCCGGCGGCCGCGGCATAACCAACAGCAGAAAGGAGGAGGAGTGCGAGGCGGAACCACAGAGCCGCCCTTTGCAAAACCCCACATTTCCTCGTCATCGTGTCTCTCGTCCCCGTTGAAAGGGTGGCGATCGGGGTAACGAGCAAACAAGAAAACTCGGTACGGTTCGGAATGCCAAATCCAGCAACAGGAGGAGCAACAGGTCACTATATAAAGAAGAGAAGGGAGAGTATTGTGGCCGCGGGGACATCCGAATGGAAGAGTATTCATGGGAATCGGTGCACGGAAAAGCGCACGGGGAGATGAAAGCAGCTTCGGGCAAGGGGGAATGGATTTGGTGTGCTCTCCCAAGAGACAAGGGATCTGTATCCGCTCCTCCCCCATGAAACGGAGAGCTTTCTCCTGTACTTCGACACTCTTCGAGACACTTTGAGATGGGAAGGAGATGATGGACAGTTCCGGTGATCCGTCTTTGTTAAGTTAAAGCGGAAGAGGAAAGCGGTGACGTTTCCAAAGTTGGAAAGACTGCACCCGCTGAGGACACGTAAGAATAAGAGGTAGGAAAAAAGTTCGGAGATTTATATTTTACTATTTTATATTTTTATTTTAAAAAGGTTTAATATTTTAAAATATTGATTGACCGTCGAATTGAATAAGGGATTATAATAAATAAATAAATAAAGGATATCATTGATAATCGAAAGGTTATATTAAGTAAATTATATATTATTATTATTATTATTATTATTATTTTAGGTGGTTGACAATAGCATAGAAATTACTAATAGCAAAAAGGGATTATCAATAATAAGCTTTCTTTAAAAAATTTTAATATTATTAAGATATTCCGATGTAAATGCTCTAACTTATCACTCAATTCCAACACCTCTTAATAATTGAAGGATTTTTCATCGTTCATCACATAAAATGACAAAAGAAATAAATAATTATATATAATAATTTGAAGATCAAAAGAGAGGAGGTGAAAAATAATATTTTATTCTAAACGTTTTTAAGATTTAAAACATTGGATTACGTGCTCGAAAGATTGTATTCTAAACGTTTCTACAATATGAAAGATATCATATTGTATCGACCAGAGGATGTCATGTTTCTGTATCGACCCGAGGATGTCATACTGGGAACCTTTACGAGAACAAGGACACGAGAGTGCCTACTAATTGGCATTCTCGGAGCTGTGTTCAATCCTCGTGTTGTACAGCAACACAAGTGACGAAGCATTTGATACTTTACCAGCTATAGTTCAACATTAAACATCAAAATTTAAAACAGTTCAGAACCAAATAAAGAAAACTATAGTTACATGATATATATCCTCCATGGTATATATCAATAGCCCCAACAGCTGGGAACCCATTGATATCATATAGGACCATAACGTAGGTCACAACACACGAATCAGTCAGCAATGGCTTTCGAATGATCTCAAACTCTAAACTTATCACCAACAAATCAAAAATATTTCTTTCAAGGGCAAAACTGAAATAGTTGTTAAATATCACAATTCAATCTAGAAACAAGCGACAGTTGGCCTAAAAAGGCTCCAGTCAGAAATATTCATTAAGGTAAATAAAGAAGATCAATTGTATTTGGTAATCTCACTGCGACTTCAGAACTAAGAAAAAACCCAAGGTGTGAGAACCGTGAAAGTTTCACATCCACCAGCGAGCTCAACGATTTGCCTTGGCAACACGTTCGATCTCATCCTTCTTCTTAATAGCGTAGCTGTCGAAAGCATGCATTAAAGTACAATGATGAGACAAAGATACACGACACAAGGAGAACTAGCATCCAAAAGCAAGAAAAGTTCTTGAAAGTCTCACCTGTTGGAAGAACCCTTAGCTGCATTAATTAATTCATCAGCAAGGCACTCAGCAATAGTTTTGATATTTCTGAAAGCACTTTCACGAGCACCAGTTGTCAGCAGGTAAATTGCCTGGTTGACCCGTCTCAATGGTGAGATATCAACCGCCTGACGTCGGACAACACCAGCAGATCCAATTCGAGTTGCATCTTCTCTTGGACCACTGGTATGCAAATAATAGCATAAGAAACATCCATCTTAAAAGTGCAGTACGTTTTGAAGGTTCAAGCACAGGAAAAAGCAGTCGATAGCATGACACTTCAATTCTTGATAGAAATCATAATTAGAAAGCAACAATTGAAAATGCACAGTTCTGATATATCATAAGTATCAGAGGGTTCAACCTTAAAATGCTACAGACAACATACTAATTATGGAACAAGAGTGATGAACACTGCAGACAGAGATCTGATCAGGCTCCAATCTGGAAACACAGGGGGCTTCCAGAGATGACTATGCAAGTTTAGTGCTATTTTAGCTCAGTCCCATTTGGGTAGCAGTGCACCAGTAGTCTAGCAGCAACCACTAGTAGCTTGGCTGATAAGTATGCCACCTGCTATAAGGCATGACGCCAGTCCTGTGGCACCAGTTCAGTGCTATAAGTAAGCCACCTGCTTCAGAATTCTTCCGGCAAAAATCAGTTAGTGTTTGTGTCCCAGGAAATGGGTCATCTTAATGAACACTTTGCTAATCCGAGGTGATCACATTTTCTCCAATTGTTACTAGCAAAGTTTTCTTCATTTCTTGCTACTGCTAAATATTTCACTTGTACATACGAGGCACATTCACTATAACCAATCTGCTAATCAGTAGTAATATATCCACTTTCTTTAATGATCAAATTCTGAATCAACTAGGAACTCCTAGATAAAAGTTCATAGCACTGATCTTTTCACCTTTGCATGCCCCCCACGAGTAACCATGTATTAACTACCAAATACCTTCCAAACAAGACATCACTCAAAAAGGAAACATTCATTGTTTAGAAGGAGAGAGATCTAGGCTCCGTTTAATCAACCAAGACTCAAAAGGAGAACAAGTAACTAATGGACCAAAATAGAAAAGAAAAAAAATTACATGTTGATTGATATGTTGGAAAATCACCGAAGCAGACTGGGCAGAGCCCAGACCACCTATATTCTACATTTACATTTTTAGTGTCAATCAACAGAAAAGAATTCTTATCATGAACTTAATTTTATCTCGTTTCCTCATCGTTTAAGAGGAGCCTTATGAAAGTATTAGCTAGGAACACCATTCAGAATGGTTGAGATTTCAAAAAAATCACTATTTTCCCAAGAGAGGGATAAAAGTTACAGAATGCTCCTAATATGCATGAAAATCCAGGCTACTATTTTTCCAGCTTGTGTTTTTTTAGTTTGTCATCTTTTGTTGGTTGCAAACTAGTAATGTTGTATTCTACAACTAATAAATTAACTTGCACTAAATAAAGCAATTTGTCATGCAACAGATGCTCATATATTTCACTGAGATTTAAACATGTGGGGTCATATTACCTGTTAATGATTGCATCAACAATAACTTGAATTGGGTTTGCATCAGTAAGCAAATGAATAATCTCCATTGTGTGTTTAACAATGCGAACAGCCATAAGCTTTTTCCCATTGTTACGACCATGCATCATCAAAGAATTTGTAAGTCTTTCAACAATTGGGCACTGAGACTTACGGAACCTCTTAGCAGAATATCTCCCTGCTGTATGTGGAAGGTAAGTAGCATGCTTTGGAGGAGTCACAGCAAGGTAATCAGCTAGCGATATATCGCTGACCTGCATTTGTAAAGAATAGGATCAATCTCAGAATTGATTGCAGATGTGCCAGATCAGAAGAACAAATCAAGGCTGTTGTTACCTTAAATCAACAAATAGTAAATGAAATCATACTAGTGGAGCAAGCAATGACATTTGAGATACTAAAATACAGCCATAATTTTGCTTGATTAAAGCATCAAGCACTTAAATAAAGCATCAGACATATATAGGGCCTCAAGGGTTAAGACTGCATGGTTCCTTTACATTTAGGGAGAACAGGAACATTTCAAGACCACAGCATTTAGGGAGAGCATGAACATTACAAGACCACAGCAAAAACTTCCAAAAGCTCTTCAAGGAACGTAAAATGAATACAAGTAGGATCCTATTAAATAAACTCCGGTTTCAGGCAGGCCTATTTGAAAAATGACATAAACTAGCTGTGAACCAAGTGTGTTCAAATATACAAAGTCAAATGCCTAATCCATAAAATAAACTTGTAGGTTTAAACTTGTTCATTTTCTTGAATTTAATCACCACACTAGAGGGAAGCTCGTCCAGTAGCGTCACATAAAACTTCATCTCCTCTCTACACTGTATAAAACACCTCCCTAGTGTCTAAACAGAATACAACAAAGCATGCCATCACCATGACCAAAACTTATTATATTGCAAATCTCAGCTAAAAGCATATGCAACTGACAAAGTTGCAAGCATATGGATGAAGAGTATATTAGTGATTGAAGTTACACAATATTTTAAACAAACTAAATTGATACAATGATTACACAGGTGGCCTGTCAGAACAGCAAATACAACAATTGATGATAGAACAGTTCCTAGTCTTAAAATTTTGCTAGAACAGAACAGCAAACTTTGGAAAATAAGTAATTCATAGCAAAATTCATATGAACACCAAAGCCAGGTGCTAGATGCTCTTTCCCATGTAAGGAATAGGGAGGACTAATGTTTGTCACTGCTGCAACTAAAAGTAAAAGATAAGTAGAAGATTCTGTTGTAGGTATGTTAGTGAAGTGTTGAGCATCAGAACTAATGTGTTGCATGCAGATGGTCACTGGGTGATATATTAACAGTGGCAAATAGTTTAGTGTCCTTCATTTATACCCTATGAAGGTATTGCATTAGTATTATCTGAAATTATCCCTGTTTTACAGAGGCATTAGCTGTGTATTCCTAATGTAAGTGATATCAGCAGTTAAAATCATTAGGGTCTGTCTGATGATAACTCTTTCGGACAACACAAGAAGACAATAAGATGGACCGTTAAACATTAAAATTCAACAAAAGAATCTGAAAGCTTAACCCTGATTAAAAAAATCATATTTAATAATCAAATTTCCACAATCTGCCAGAAGCATTAAACCTCAGGTTTTAACCAATATTTTTGTTATCCTCAATTTTTCATCAAGCCCAATAATCTTGTTATTTTGATGACTTCTAACTAGAGAAACATACAACCACCACTATCATGGTAGAACACCATTTCAAGAGCATGAACTTGTATCATTCACAACAATCTTATCATTTAATCAATTTTAATAATTCTGAAATCCATTAAATATTTTCATCAAACCCAAGAATCTTGTCATCTTGATCAGCTCTGAACAGAGAATGCAGAAGAATCTGTATCACTTTAGATTTAGAGCACATGAGTTAAAGGACATAGACTTCAATCATTCCTTTGGACTAATTGCAAGAATTGTCTCACTTTTTCATTACATAATATCCACAACATTCTAGATGCTCCATGGTCCATTGCTTAAAAAATTAATGTTAGAAGTACAATTCACTGTCAAGACAAACTGGGAGATCAAAATTAAAAGAACAAAACCTTGTTTTCCATTTACACACATATTAAGCCCTTAAGCACACAAACCATGTCAATTGTCAACCTACACCAAAAGTATAGCCCCAACACATTGCTGAGAAGTCCAACACCACAGTAACAGACTTAACCTAAATTTTTTTCCCATTTGTCCCTATTGACTGAAAAACACAATTATCATTCTTATAGAACACAACATTGTATCCCTTCAACAGCATTACCAGTATATGATTATGAATCATACAAGTGTGTCCATTGGTAGAAATTTCGATCGCAGTTTCTCTAACATTAGCATTAACATCATGGCAGAAGCATAATCCATTTATAGGTTTAGAGAGTGGGAAGTAATAGATTAATTTATCTTAAACTGCACTTCATAAATATAATACTCCTGAACATCATTCAAAAGAAACAGCAGTAGTTCACATAACAGAAGGTTTTCTAATATCCATCCAGCAAAGGTTCCAGCAACCATTGAGACTGGATCTTTCACCTTGCAAAAAAAATTCTCAGGTATGCTTGTCAGTGCCATATCAATTGCCAAAAATTTACAACTGAAAAATGATGAACTTCCATTTAGTTCCTTTCATCTTCTAACTACAACCACTACACGCAAACTTACAAAAAGAAGTCAGCATTGCAAAACACTAATCATTAATCAAACCCACCGTGGCTGTCACCAAATCCTACTCCAAGCCAATTGACACTTATAATCTCTGTGATACAAGATAGCAAACTAATATCTAAGCAGACATTCTAGTGGCCAGCAGATCGTACGTGAAATGTAGTGGTCAGGGCTTCAAGTTCAGTGGCTACCTTAAGAATCACCAAAATCTAATCCAAGCCATATTCTAGCTATCAGCAGATTGTATGTGAAATCTAGCGGTCAGGGCTTCAAGTTCAGTGGTTAACTTAAGTGTCACCAAAATATAACCAAGCCACTTGTCACTTATATTCCCTGTGATACAAGATAGCATACTTGTCTGTAAGGAGACTCCCTGAGATACAAGATTGCATACTCGTCTCTAAGGAGACATCCTAGTGGTCAGTGGATTGTATGTGCAATCAAGTGATCAGGGCTTCGAGTTCCATGATTGGTGTCTAGTGCACACATTATCCTAACACTTAAATATGGAGGAGAGAAAAAAAAACAAGATGGCATACATGGAAATTCTGAGTCTCTCACCAGAAAGACTGTCAATAGATCCATCTATCATAAAGATCTACCACTCTGCAGTTAGCATCTACTACCAAAAAATCTTATCCCTTTTCAACCCCCTAGCCCTAAACTACTGAGAAGCTTATTGGACGGTCAAATTTTTGCTATCTAAACTTCTCAATCTTGATCAAGCATACGATGTCAACCCATTTTGCATCGATTCTACACGAACCTGCATTTGATCTCTACAATCGCTCTATAGTTGAACTTGTTTCTCGATTCCTGAAATCAAACAGTAAAGAACTTGCTCCCAATTGTCCCCCAGAAGGAGCCAAAATCATAAATACAACGATATCTCATAAAGATATATCAAAAAAGAATTCGCTCAAAAGAGGTGGAAAAAACACCAAGAACCACCATGATGCAACCTTCCCAATAAATAAAATGAAAAAGCAATTGGGTGTGATATAAATCTTAACAAAGAAGGCAAGTACATCCTTGAATTATAGACGCTATGGAGTCACAATCGCATTCGATTTCGCATAGAAGATATCGACCACACAGGGAAAGGGTCGGAAAACAACATGACTCGATAAATCGCCAGCCTCAAAGATAGGCTCGCCGGAATAAAGAGAGCGGACCTCCACGTCGTCGAAGGACCAGCGGTTAAAGAGCTTAACATCCTGCTGGATCGCCATTAGCGCCGCGCGTGCAAGTACCCAAGGCGAGAGCAAACGAGCGGCGACGAGAAAACCCTAAGGTATAGGGTCCGATGGGCGGCACTTATGTATGCGAGAAGGCGAAGATCCAAAATTAATGGACGGTCCAGATCTATCCACGACACATTTGAGCAATAGAGAAAGGGAGGCTCTTTTTACATGTACTTCCCTAACATTATACGAATTACTTATATATTTTTCGAACATAGTTTATATCTTTTGAAAACCTTTTAAGCCGCATTTATTTATATTGTTGATAAAAAAATGACTTGTTCTATGAAGCCACCTCAACCACAACCAAGGGATAAGCCAAGAGCATCGATAAATCATATCATTACGAGCATCATACCCTGATGTCATCATTCATAAGACGTGCTTGTTAGTTATTGTCGTCAATAATTCGTTCATATGGTAAGAGGCATACTAACTCATTGCTAGCTTCATGCTATTGATAGCCCATGTATAAAATCCAAGCCCTAGGCTGAACAAAGGGTAAGCGGGTTTTTATCTCAACTATCTTGAATTCTACTAAACCCTTTCCACTAACTTAAGCATCAAAAAGGTAGGCTTGGGACATCCCCCGATATTGATCGGGTATGCAAGACACAGGCATGTCTAAGATGCACCTCGGATTGACGTTAAGTGGTTCCGAAAGACTAAGGCACACCTCGAGACGATCCCAAACTCCCTCCAACAAATAAATTGCACTTCGGGGAGACCGCGAGTCAACCATCATGAGCCATCGATGCCTCGGGAGTCCATCTGTCATCTCAGTTGCTTACCCATGCTATCTCATCAATCCTATCTCAACCTCTTGGACGGATCTACGTCTTCATGATCGAATCAAGCTACGTTAACTCTGTAACAATAATTATAAAACCATGAGACTATAAAAATATTATCATGTCAAAACAATTTTTAGATTTAGTTTATAACTTCATCTTCGGCAAAATATTAGTTCTAGCTTTGTAAAATATTTTATTTTGAAGCCGTCAAGGATGGGTGATATCACGATATTTGGTGCGTAAAATCAGACAACCAACGGGGGAGATGATTCCACGAAAACATGTGGACGGCTGTGATGCAACATATACACGTCGAGCCTGGTGAAGCTGCAGCAGAACAGTCGAAAGCCTCCCAGCAACTCCTCCTCGACTACGGTCCGCGCTCCTCACCTTTCTCGAATCTCCAAGCATGAACAGAGCACCAGTAGCAGCAAGACGCCGTGGTTGCTGTTCTGAAATCAGACCACAGACTTAAAAGCAGTCACACCACCTTCCCTTCCATAGCTACCTACCATTCTTCAGTCCTTTCTCCATCACGTCTTCGTCTATATAAACATTCGAAACGCCAGCGCTTGCCTCAGTTCCCTACCTCTCCTCTCTTCTTAGAAGAAATGGAGGTAAGCCGAGGACTTCAGCATCTCCGCCATTAGTTTGTGTAGTCTATAATACTTCCATGTTTTGGTTATGTACACAGAATGCGATGACAAGGTACAAGGTACCGGCATTTGGTCATTGGAACTTCAACTTGTACGATGACATCCCAATCTCCCAGTACTTTGAATCAGCGAGGGAATATGGTCTGATAAGAGCTCGTTTCTTTGAAGGAGACGGTGAGGATCTCTTTGAGATGCTGAGAAGAAAGGTCGGATCTTGACATAGATTATTTTGTCGGTTTGGTTGGCTTGGGTTTGTACTTACATTGTTCGTTGTCCTGAAGGGAAAGAAGGGAAGAGATGGAGCAAGGAAGAAGAGAAACTACAAGAAGGAGAAGGTTTGGAAGCCCAAGCCCGTTGATGAGGACCTTTACAAGATACCTCCACAGCTCCTCTATCAAATGCCAAAGAAGGCAAGTAAATTCTTCAGCTACAGTCAATCTGAATATGTTGGGAAACACTATTCTTTTTCTGATTTTGGAGAATATCACTCACTCACTCACTCTCTCTCTCTGCAGAAGAAGTTGTGGAATTTTTGCGCAGGGTGTCGCTGCCTCAACTGCATTGCATGACTGGGAATTATTGCTAGAGAAGAAGAGAGTAGCTTCCTAGAGAATGTGTTTATCTTTCTTGCTTGTGAAATGAGTGTTGCACACTCTGTTGTGAGAATGTATTATTTCTGAATTAAGTGAAATGAAAGAAGCTATTAGCTACTCAGAAGTGTTTGTTTTCTGAGGGAAATACATAGCATTGTTCATTGGAAAATTTATTTGATGTAAAATTTCTTTGATCTTTGAAGGACACTTTCCTTAGTTTTTCTGAAATCAATCAGTAGAAATTAATAATATGTTGCTGAACTAACACTGCTTGAATTGTTAATGATCAAAGAGTCTGATGCCCAAAAATATTGTCAAATTTCCAATTCGGTTTATGTTAGAACAGTAGTTTGTTTTCTGTCTTCAATTTGATACATCCAGTAGTGACTGTTCATTGTTTTCAGAAGAATGTAATGCATCAACATGATGATTTTGTGTCTCAGTTGGACAACACTATGATGAACACCAGTAGAATTAGAAAGAGAGGCTAATGATATGATGCACACAAATAGATCACTTTACAAAAGACATGTTCAGAATTTTCATCATTAATAATCCTCTTGATCTGTGCTGGGTAATGCATTGCTGATTCTCACATGGCAACTGGTAATGCATCAAAATAATAATAATGTTGGCATTAAAGTGGCTTGCTCAAGAAACAAAATCTGAAATCAAAAGTCTTCTTTTTCTTGGTGTCTCAGAGTATCTTTTTAACCTGTTTTATGCAACATACTCTCCAGCCAGACACTGTTGATCCTACTTTTGATGTCTACCTTTTATCTATCACTTTGCATCAAAAGCAAACATTGTTACAGAGTGATCACTGAACTGAGTTGCAATCTTCAGTGGAAGATGATAAGCACCTTCCAATTAAAGGTTGAGTGAGTTGACAGAAGTCTTACAGAAGAGACTTAAAGGTCTCTGATAGAGTGCTTGTGGGGAATTGAGGGAACTGATCTCTCGAACTAATCCACAGATGCAAAAAGAAAAAGGTGGATACTAGTAAAGATTGCAGAGAATGCTAGTGAAAGGAGATGAATTAGGATATTTTCCAATTCATATTCTCGGGTTTCGACTGTCCTGCAGTATGCATTTTTCTTTTTCATTCTCACCAATTTTTGATAAAAATGTAGTTTGGAACTTAAACCAATCTATGTCCATGGTTCAATAATATCAGATTTCTTCATTCAAGCAAGTGCATGCATTTTTTTCAAAGCAATGAATTCTCTGAGCCAGCACAATAGAAGCATGTCTATGTTTTTGCTGATTACTTGACTATGAACACTGCATTGTCTCATTCAAGCAAATTCTGAAAACACAAGAAACAGAAGCAAAAAAATGCATCTCAGCTTCATTGAGTTGGAGGCATTAGCTGATTCCAAATACCCCCAGTTTCAGTACTCCCAGACCAATCCAATTGACACAGCAGAAGTGGAGATCTGTCTCATGATCATGTTGCTACCTAAGAATTCTTAGAAGCAAAGAATAGACTCTAGATTTTTGTGTTGGCCTAATAGATCAACTTTAAGTCCTCTTTACCTGTTCTTGAGATGGCTTCTTTTTCATCTATTTATGCTTTAGCAAGTCCTTGCAGCTGAGTGAACAGAATCTTATGATCCAATGCTAGAGAAGTGTTGGACAAAAACCCATTTCTTCATCAGCATTTGAACCACTGTCTTACTGTATAGCAGTGGCTTATATAAATGTATCAGAAGGCTTACTAAATGGCAGACACTCAAACCCTTGCAGAAACAGCAGTAGGATAAGTTCATTTATGGAGTTCAAATGGAAACTATATATTGTTCTGAAAAGATGCAGTATAATTCCAGAATCAGTTCCAATGGAGAATGATCAATGATCAATATATACAGTCTTATTATTTCTAGAAACAGAGAGATATTTTTCAAGAAGCACTAAGCTAAGCAATGCCAGTTAGGTTAATATTCAGCATTATTAGCACAGAATGAACCAAATGCTGTAAGCATATGATAGGTTCTCTTAATGATTCCACTTCTTTGTCTCCCAGTGTCTTTACACTGCCAGTTCTGTGGCATTCCATCAACAAGTTGATGCATGGAAATATAAATCCATGCTAAGCTTGAAAACAATATGTTCTTTATAATTTTGTTTATTTGTGTTAAAAAATATGTACAAATATAAAATGCTTAAAATGACAAAATTAACAAATATTTTTAAAGAAATAGTTGTTGTTGTCATGGTTTATACTCTAATAGTATCGAACGATTTCGGTATGATACACCCACATAATCAATTCAATCAAAGATGATTTTTTATCCTTATCGTCGTAAAATAGTGAAAAATCTAACTCGATCAGACTTGATCTTTCTTGATTAATTCTAGCCAATTTAATAATCTTAATTGAAGAAAAAGAAAAAGGAAGGAATACAAGAAGGAAAAAAAAGAATAAGTAAGCTAAATTGAAAGAAAGAAGAAAGAAATTTTGTGTCTGTGATGAGCAAACAGAAAAAAAAAAGAAGATAGGTTTTATTTTTTTAAATTTTATTTCTCTTATAACCATCATATTAATCTTTTACATTAATCATCACTACAATATCTATTGATATATATCCTCATGAACTCATAAAAACTTTATAATCTCCAAAAGTATTTGATAAAACCAAAACAATTAATGGCATCCTTGTAATGATTCTTCAGTTTAAACTTCAATATCATAGGAAAATATGGACCTTTTTTTAGATTGCTAAACTCACCAATTTAAGCCATAAGTATTCAAACCCCATGAGATGAGCTTGATTTCCAAGCTCTGCATGGCACAACAAGAGCTAAATTGTATGCAAGTGGACTGCCTTGTAATCCAAACTTAGACGTGAAGGAAATGCAAGTACGTGATGAGAATATTAAAGAGGGAAAAAATAATGTAGAGACAGCAAAGAAGCTGGTCCACGTAAGTGCAAGTTGCACCAGAAACTTTGTGGTTTGAGCTTAGATTATGATCTTAATTTAGTGCTTTGGTTCGAGGCAGAAGATGATGGAGAAGAGATTGCTGCATTCTGCAGGTGTTAAGGGGAACAAAGACCCTGAGGTGAGATAATGGTGCACGAAGCTCGAGAGGTGGGCTGTGCTCGGTGGAAATGTTGATGTGGACTGAATGAAATAATGTTCAGAAGTCATATGCTTCAGAAAAGGTTCCACCAATGGCTTGGATTAGCCATCTGAGAATTTTCTTGGGAGCTGACAAATGCCAATGGCGATGGAGCAGTCGGCAGTGTCCTTTTGTTGTGATTGGGAGGAGGAAAGATCTTTGGAGTTGTCGAATCACAGTGGGCTTCACATGCACTAACACTCTCAAAAGCTTCTGATCCTTGGCCTCACCTGGGGCATGAGACTACAGCAGCCACACACACCTCTCTCTCTCTCTCTCTTACACACACAGGCAACAATCTCAAAAGCTTCTCATCTTTTGGCTTAGCTGGGATGATGCTAGAACAGATACACCTGTGTGGGAGAGAGATATATATATATATAGGACAAGAAGCTCAAAATCTTCTTATCTTTGAGCTTAGTTGGGACAGAGACTAGACCAGATATTCTCTCTCTCTCTCTCTCTCTATCTATCTATCTATCTATCTATGTGTGAAAGCAACATTAACGTCAATATCTTCTCATCTTAGGGCTTAGCTGGCACTAGGCACTAATGTAGATAAATATCTCCCTCTCTCTTTCTCTCACTGTATGTGTATGTGAGTATGAAAGCAACAATCTCAATAGCTTCTTATCTTTGGGCTTATCCAAGACAAGAGATTAAAGCACACATACACCTCTCTCTCTCTCTCTCTGTATGTGTGTAGAAGCAACAATCTCAAGGGCTTCTTATCTTTGACCAAAGCAGACATCTCTCTCTATGTGATCACATTGGATCATCCTAAACTCTTGTCAATTGAGAAGGCTGTCCTGTGCAAGTTTTGGAGCAAATGCTCACTCATCATGGCCAGCTAGTGCATGTTTTTAGGTGGGTCTCATACAATACACTACAGCAAGGACATGGCCATAATTTAGCTAACCACCCCCCTTGTCTCTCTCTCTCTCTCTCTTAGTCATGCATTTGAAGTATATACTTGTCTGCATTCATTTTGTCGTTCCACTGATTAACTGAGTTCATATGTGAGCGCTCTACTGACCTAATTCACTGCAGCCATGGACATCACCGACCCCTTCAAAACAAGTACAGGTGTCGCTGCCATGATAACGCTGTGGCAGTATCTATCCATCTAGACGATAAGGAAGACGAACGCACAGGCATTCAGAGATTGCCACATAGCCGTCGTAGCTCAATTCTCAGAATGGCCAAGTTTAGGTCAATTACACAGCATTAATTACCAGCTCCAGGTGTCATATATACAAAGGTTAGAGATGAGCGAGGTTGCGTACCCTCTTGGGCTCATCCTATTTCCATGCAAGGTTGGAAATCCCATGCAACATGGATTCTCGTGATCGTGACGTGAAATGTCATGCAGCATGGAGTTGATTAATGATCATGGAAGGAATCACAATCTCTCAGTTAAAGTTCCATGCAAGAAAGTGTAGTGCAGATTTCATGCTCTTTTACTCGGCGTTGAGCAAAATCTACTCTCTCGGGAATTATTCCATTCATTGCGTCCAATTTTATAGCATGCATACAAGGAAAATAAATCCTTATGCTACTATTTGAGATTATGGTGTCTGAATCAATTGGTAAAGAAAATATAATTTATCTTACGAAAAATAATCAAAATCTTTATCAATCAAACTAGCTTTAATGTAATTATTTAAATTTATATTGGATTAGCGGGACACTAAATTTTCTAATATGTAATTATTTTAGAGTCAAAATAAATCATTATTAGAATTATTTTTAAAACTAAAGATATTTATTTAATTATTTTGATAGTTATAAAAAATATCCTAAGGAAGCGATACGTCTCTTCCGATAATATTTTTTCAATATGATTTTTTTTTTATAAATAAGGTCCTTAATAACCTCGATTTATGCATATGCGTAAAACAATAATTTCTCTTCTTTTATCTTTATTTCTCAATTGTATTTTTAAATTATTTTCTATTACTCGATTAGTTGAAAAAGACTATCTAAGATTGAATCTTAGGGTAATAATATTGATAAACCCCATACATAAAAATAAGATTTTGCTTTCCACTAATTAAGTGTCTCTGATTTCTTTTTCAATTTTATATTTTAAAATTATTAATTTAACATATTTATTAGTTAGTTAATCGAAATCCTTCTTTTAAAAAGATAGGGTGATGAACAAAAAGAGAGAAGCACAATTTTTTGTTTTGATGAATCAAGTCATGCTATGATGAGTTTGGAGTAGAAGTATAGTAAATCAAATTGTACTTTTGCAGATTAAACTAATAAAAAGTACTCATCATATGTATAACATATGTTTAAAGGTAGCTAAGGACTGAGCAAGTCATGATAATACATACTATCTTTTACATGAACTTCCACTAACTATGCTTTCTCACACATCCTTACTGAGTTACACATATCAACAACATCTCTCTAGACTTACAAATCTTCTACCCATATCCTTAATTCCACATCATTGTAACAATGTTAAAGGCTATAATGTGGATGCTGAAATAGACAAGAAAAAGATCTAAGTTCATGCAGCTTATGCCACAAATCAGACATTTTGTGTGTGTCAATTCCATTCCTGTCTTAATCAAACCCCATAAAGAGCTAACAGCTTCCTCTACATGATAAGGGAGGAACTTTTGACTATGCCACACGAGGCATGTACTGGGAGGAGCGTGAACCCACGCATGCCAATGGCAGATCAGGTGGGGCCCGGCTGATGGCCAATCGCTTCGGGACGGGTAGAAAGATCGTGTAGGCGAATGTTTACATCTCTTCCCCGTTTGTTCTCCCTCATATAATTCTTCTATTCACCAATGATGATGGTGGCGAATAAAGAAGAAAATAGAAAGTTTATGTACATTTTTAAATATTTAGATTCACATATTACATATTTATTTTCTTACATTTATTTGTATAAATTTTTACTGTTGATGACAAAATTATATATTCATGTGTTTGCATGTAAATAATATTACTAAAGCAAACATTAATATTTGATTATTTACAATTTTTTTGACAAGTTTATTGTTTTCGGGTTGATTTTAGTTCATACTGAATTTGTTTGACTAATATCGAACCCTATAAAATTGTATCAGGATGTTTTGTTCCACAATATCCCGTTGATATCTAAATAAGATAAGAGAGCTAAACTTTTACAATCGATCTCGGTTATCGGGAGGGTGGCATGTCTCTCTCGAACCTAATCATGATCGTACTATACTAAATCCGAAATATAATAATATTCGGCCAGTTCTGCTGAGATGTCAGTCAAGATCAGCCATAAAAAATTTCAATCATGTGACTTTAATAATATCGAACCCTAAAAAATTGTATAAGGATGTTTTGTTCCACTATATCTCGTCGATATCTAAATTAGATAAGAGAGCTAATGGCTCTTTAACAGTGAACTCTATTACTCTTACAATCGATCTCGGTTATCGGGAGGGTGCCATGTCTCTCTCGAACCTAATCATGATCGTACCGTATCAAATCTGAAATACAATAATATTTGGTCATGAGATGTCGGTCAAGCATCAGCCACATGAAAATTTCAATCATGTGACATCGAGGTATCGATGAGATTATGTTATCGGTTATGCAATGTTGTTACGGAGTCGAGTAATAAAATAAATAAATTTATATTAAGTTCTAAATTTATCATGCACGGCCAAAGCAAAATGAAAATAACAAATCAAAGATGAGAGGCTGATTGATGAGAGGCCATCAATGCCTCAACATCAGTGAGGGCGCTGCAGTCGCTGAACTCGGACACCTTAACTGCTACTCGCATCACCTGCGACTTCTCGAATCACGTCGTCAACTTCTATAGTCCCTTAAAGTGGAGCTGTCTGTTTACTGCCGGATTGCCCACCAACAATTCATCAGCTTCACTCTTTGAGATGTGTCCTTCAGTGGGTGAGTGTGGTTTATTAGCTCAATTGATTAGAGCGTAACGTTAATAAAAAGCTGTTAATCAGTAAAAATTCTGACTTCGAATTCCCTTTCATTATTATTATTATTATTATTATTATTATATATATATATACATGCGAATGGCATGATGAATCGTACATGTAGGGCTGGATTCGTAGCTTGGCGCATGTTCCTTGCGGTGGGAGCACATCCGCACCGTTAAGTAGTTTGCTTTGAGATTCACGTGAGGGCCGGATGTGGCGGGACACGGCAATGGCCACCCCCGCATGTTGGTGTGTGCCATGTTTAGGCTGGCCATACATTATTAATGTATGCGCGTCGTCCTCCAACAGCCCACGTGGACGGTCGTCCTCTTCGCTCCCCAAACAAGGAAAACACCGCGAACGATCACCTCCTCTCCGCCCATCTCGTCCATCCGTTCCTTCGCCCGCAACAGTCACAATAAGAAGGCGGCCAACAACGAGACGCACCGGAGACTGCTCCTCCTCCTTACCCAGTGCAGTCCTTCTACGGTGGGCGTAGGAGAGAGGTGATCGACGGTGGGCCCCCGTCGACCCCACCACCTCTCCTCGTCCCCCACCCTTCAATTATTGCTCCCTTCCCCCCCTCCCTCCCCCTGCCCTTCTCTGATCCTCCTCCTGCTGCTGCTGCTGCTCCTCCTCCTCCTCCTCTTCCTCCTCAGATCTCCCCACCCCCTCTCTCTTCTCCTCTCCCCCCCACCCCCTTTCCTTTCTTTTGCTGCCACCAACTGTGTGTCTGTGTCTCTGTCTCTGCCAAGCCTCCACATCCCCTGTTCCCTTTTTTTTTTCTGTTCCCCCTTTACTCCTCTCTTCCTCTCCCAAATCTGAGAAGCGAAAGGTAACCTAAACAGGTGACTCGTGGATCGGAATCCCAAATTTAGACTGCTGGTACAATTAGCACCCCCTTTCGCGTCGGACTCGTCTGCAATATGAGCTGCGGCCACCACACCCGCCGCTTCCTCGTCCTCTTCATCTTGTTCGTCGTCGTTGCGGTGGCGGCGAGCGGGGACGGGAGCGCGTACGAGGTGCTGCGGTCGCACGGGCTGCCCATCGGGTTGCTGCCCAAGGGGGTGCGGGAGTTTTACGTGGACGGGGAGGGGCGGTTCGAGGCGCGGCTGGACGCGCCGTGCACGGCCAAGTTCGAGAGCGAGGTGCGCTACAACGCCAGCGTGGCGGGCACCATCTCGCCCGGCCAGATCGACGGCCTCTCCGGCATCGCTGCCCAGGACCTCTTCCTCTGGTTCCCCGTCCGCGCCATCCGCCTCGACGACCAGGCCTCCGGCATCATCCACTTCGACGTTGGCGTCGTCGACAAGCGCTTCCCCCTCTCCCTCTTCGAGTACCCGCCCGACTGCACCCCCGTCGCGTCGTCCTCTCGCCCTCTCCGCGAGGGCTCTCGCCTAGCTTCCCTCGTCGCCGAGGTCCCTTTCCACCTCCCCTTCCATCTTCTCCCCTCGTAAACATCTTTTTTATTCGATCCATCTTGGCATTTCGTCTAACAACACCCATGCACGCTTCCTTTTGATCGGCAGAGCCAATCCGGCGAGCTCCGCTACCAACTCGATGCTCGAGACGCCGCCATCTGAAACGAGCTCCGCCGTCCTTGTTATTAAAGGTCCTATATAGCTTGGCTTTGGCTTGCTTTGCTTATGTGTGTGCTTCTTGTGTGTCCCGTCATGCTCTACTTTCATTCAAGCTGAAAGACCGCTTTTTTTGATTGAATGATGATGGAGTCACCACCCCAGAATGTGCAAGCAATTCGGTGTAGATCGGATGAGAGAGCATCCGAAGTTGGTAAAAGGATCGAGGGCGATTCTTTTTCCAACTACTGAATCATAATCCTAATGTTCATATCATCAATTACTAGTGATCATATCATCCGTTTGCCGGTAGAAGGCCACATGTATGCAGTGGAGAGTCTGGGACTTGATCCACTGCAAATGTCTTTCTTTGTTGTATTTGTGAGCGAGTAATGCATCGAGTCTTTCTGTATATGCGGGAACCATTTGTCTGTATGTAATCTCTAGGCAATTTGTTGGATCTGAGTGATACATACATACATACATATATATATATATATATTATATAATCTTGATTGCAAAGATGGACAACTCTATTTAGTTTTCTTTCCTTAAATCAGATGTATTTTCAGACTTAGTGTCAACCTGATGGAAATGTTCATGGTGTGAATCGAGGATGATGAATGATAGTTATGCTTGTTCCGAGTCTAAAATGGTATCCTAGAGATGGAGGTCCTGTGGATTTGCTCGTCGACATGAAGTTTTCTAAGATTTAAAGCAATCTTAGACAATTATGAACAGGCAATATTGTTGAGGTATGTCACCAGTCTTCAGCTTCTTTAACATCTTTTGCAATGCTCAACTGACTGGAAATTGTTCAGGTGTGTCACCATAGTTCAGCTGATCCAAGTTTACTGTTTGTATAGGCAACAAAAAATTACAGACTTGTTAGGTTTCGGGGATAAGGAGAGATGAACAAGTTGTCTGTGTAGCAGGGAAAGCAGAAATAGTCATACTTTCTGGTGGATGGATGGAGCTTTGTTTGAATGGTCTTGTCTAATTGTTGGCATGTGAATCTTGGGGTCTAAGTGCTTATGGCATGTAGCTTTTTTGATGGTATATTTCAGGAGGTCTGCAAAAGAATCTGAAGAGCAACCCAAGCAGTACGAACAAAAGCATTCAGAGGTGGGCTCCAGACTTTGGTTTAGTAGCTTGTTGTCGTCCATTTCATCCAACAGGCAATCCAGACTAACCTGTGGTGGTCTTGTAGATTTGCTGGCAGATATCAAGTTCTCCAAGAATTAGGATCATGTTTGGCAATGCTGAACTGACAGGATTTGTTGAGGTATGTTTCCTGGTTTCCACTTCTCAAAAACTTTCGGCTATGCTGAACCGTCTTAAAATCGTGCAGGTTCATAACCAGATTTGCAGCTAATATTATTCTCAGGACCGCGCCGTGAATGCTTATATGGACAACAAAAGGACATACTTTCTTCTGAGCTTTCAGGAATAATGTGAGGTGACAAAAATATTTATGTATCAGGACAAGCAGAATTGCCATACTTTATGGTGAATTGGACAGAGGTAGGTCAATCTTGGAACCCAAGTGCATATGGCATGTAGCTCTGATGGCAGGAGTCCTGAAAGGGAAATTGGAAGATCAAATGTGGGCTCCAAACTTGGTTTAGTTACCTTGCCCCTGTTGATATATCTCCAGTGAAAACAACAGTAATTAGTTGTCTGCACCTAAATGCTTCAAATTTTGTTGGAAAAGAACTTTGCCAGGTGACCACTAATTGAAGTGTTGAACTTTGGGTTTGAGCTACAAGCTTGCCCCAAAACAAGCAGCTCAAATGTCACATCTGCTTTAACTTTTGTTGATTGGATGCTGGAATTCACGTGTGCACAGAAATAATGCATCCCTTTTGGAGCTCTAGGATCTGTCCTTGGGCAATGGAATTGTATCTTGAGATGTTCTGAAAGCTCCGAGCTGGGCATATCAGACGAGTAATCCTACAACTGGGTTAAAAGCTTGAGCAGCTGGTGATATTAAGATGGATCAACACTGAAGTGGTGGTGTTGTGATACTTGTGCTGCTCGAGATGTTTCTTATGGGTTGATTGGCATACCTAACATTAATTTATGACTACCTGCTGTTGCCATGGCTGTGCAGACAAGGCTAAACCATTCTTGAACACAGTTACCTTGGTTCATACTCTTGGGTAACCAGGCATTCTTGGACTGACATGGTGGCTTCAGAACTGGGAAAAATGATGCTACTGTAGAGAGGACTCGAAGAACAGCTGTTCCATGTGCAAGGATTGGGCAGTGAGAGTGATTTCTCTGGAAGATGCACTCAATTCCAAACTATCATCCAAAAAGCAACTTGTTGCCAGCCAATCAATGTCTTGCATTAGTTAGATCTTGTACTCTAATTTGACTGGGGACCAATCCTAAAGTGCCTCATGTTCTGTAGTAGAGATGTGGGACCAACTCATCATATAGGTTTAGCATCTCCAGAACAAGTGAATAAACTGTCCTTGCAAGTGCAGGGAAAACTGGATTAAGGTATACACCAAAATCACATCACAGTATGGGGAAACCATGTTGAGGAATTCAAAGGTGAGCCTTGGGATGTCATGACATGACATGATTGTTCCTTTGCCACTTCAATGATCATTATTTACAAGCATAACTCTGATTACATGATTAACCCTCTTTAATATGGTGTTGGTGAGGGCTTCCAAAAACTCTTTTATCCTTTTTGTTATTTGGACAAAGGACAGTAAATTTGTACTTAATGATTAAAAGAATGGATGTGGACATCAAGTAAAAGAGACTCCAACATCCATGACAGCTTCTTCAGTCTTCTTATGCTTTGGACCGAGGGAACGTAACTATTAATGGCAAATGATTAAACGCAACATGTGTGGCAGCATCCAAGTCATTTAATGCCTGTTTATAGTCTTCTGCCCAATGAATAACACACGTGGGAAGTCTTCTCCTTTGCCAAATATCTCAGCCTTCCTTACACATCTAATTGTAGATTATTTTCTGTAATTAATTATTTTTAATATTTTGATTCTTATATTTTTAATAATTATATTGAGATTCATATATTTAGAAAAATAAAATATTAAGATCAAGAAAGAGAAGGGTTATTTTTATAAATATAAAAATTTTAATATAATTTTTAAAAATATAAAGATTGAAATATTAAAGATAATTAATTACAGGAGATAATTTATAATTAAATATCTTTTTAGTGAGCATAGTAATGTTAATCCAAAGCAGCTTTGGCAAGCATGAGCTGCCAAAAAATGGCGAATTAGCGGCTAAGTCAATCGATCAAAAGAATCTGATTATAATTTGGAACAACGACAGAAATAATGATTCGAGTTATATGATGAATGCGAAATCCAGAAACAGCAGCTGCAACAGCAAGAAAGAGCCAAAGGCTTCAGGAACAATATGCTGCTGCTGCTTTCTTTCTGTGCTGGTCAACCTCTGGTTTTGTGTTTCTCCATGGCTTCTGTTAATTTTCTCCCTCTTCATCTCTGTTCGGTGATTCGTTCACAAGAACATGACACTGTGGTCTCTTGGAAATCATCTCATACATTTCGAATTACTTTATCCCTCGCTCCATCTCATCTCTCATGCTTTTTTTCTTCTTCGGGAAACCAGCGTTGAAATTATATTGTATTAACTTTATAATTATCATTGACTATAGAGTTTCGATTGACAAAAGGAATAGTCGTACCATTTGACTTTCTATTGTGTTTCGAGATTGATCATCTTGGGACCTCGATCACTATTATCTATATCATGGGTAGCCAATCATGCATATGAGATTTTTGGTTTAAATAAAACATATCGAATGTTTTAGATTATTTTTATTGTAAGTGAATAAATCATGTACAAGAGAGACTTTGGAAAGTGTCGACCACATCAATTGAAGGTTTATTTATTTATTTATTTATTTTTTTTTTTATCTCGGGTCGATGCATCATCATTATATCAAATGCATCATCATTATGCAAAAGAATACTTTATGTTACATTATACACTTTGGGGATTTTTTTTCTTGTTAGGCCTCGGTCTCCTATGCAGTAGCCTTTGGATGCATCATATGTATAAGAGACTATGGCTTAATCGGCCACATCAATCTTTGGGGAATCATATGAATAATTAGGATATATCAAGACGCCTCGGAGATAATCATGTTAGGTTTAAGCACAAATTTAGCTTATGTGGATAATTCAATCGGCTCACCTTAACATCGTCACACGTCTCATATCTCTAACACCTTTGTGAGGGTGGTTCAAATTGATACTTCTTGACATCTTTATGTACCTCATCTATTCAACATTTATACATAGATAGTTTAAATCAGTGCACCTTGGCACTCTCTGTTAGGATCGTAAAAACACTAAGAGGGTGGGGGTGTGTGAATTAGTGCTATCGAAATAAAATTTTGATTTAAAAATTTTGATTGATAAAACTCTTATCACAAATGTATTTAACTAATGAGACCAAGAGTGGATGATCATCTATCGACACTTAATAGCCCTTGTAAGGTTGACTACTACTTCCGATGACCGGATGTGCTAGATCTGAAACCTTCAGACCTATAAGTCTGGTATCAAAGAGTAGAGTACTCGTATAGGATATCCTTGGTGTCTCAAGTCTAAGGACTAGATACACCACTGAGACTACAGGATCATTGTCTAACAATAAGGCATCATTAACCATCCAGTATTATGTGAGCGGATCAATCAGTGAACTCATTCTCCAATAAGCATTTGCACTATATCCCTAGTGTCATAACATTAGCAGCTATGAGACCAGTCACCTCCATCATATGTACGAATATATAATATACTAGTCTATCCGATTATTTCGATGTCCCTCCTGAGCAACCTGTGACTGAGATTATTTAAGATTTGTGTTTAAAGACGAATTAGTCTCATTATCGTGATCTCATCATGATTCAATTTTCATTGTACAAATCTATGAATATCATAATATATTCATGAAATAGGTAATATAAAGTGATAAAATGTCAAATAATATAATAAGCAGAAAGAATACATATCATGTCACACGTGTCATCATTCAAGTGATTGGTTTGCATGACACTTATAACCAACATGGCATGTGTACTTAATAAAGTATAAGTCTGAGACATTCGAGAAATTTAGAGAGTATAAGAATAAAGTAGAGAACCATATTGGAAAGAGTATTAAGACTCTTTAATCCGATCGAGGAGGTGAGTACTTGAGTGCAGAGTTCACATAGTTCCTCAAGGACCATGAGATTCTATCCCAATGGACACCTCCTTATACGCTTCAGCTCAATGGTTTATCTAAAAGGAAGAATCACACATTGTTAGACATGATGCGGTTCATGATGAGTTTCACCGACTTACCCATCTTATTCTGGGGATACGTCATAGATATCGCAGCTTACCTTCTTAACAGAGTTTTAATTAAATTTATAGTATCTACACCATATGAGATATGGAAAGGGAAGAAGCTCAATCTTAAGATTGTTATGATTTGGGGCTGCCTTGCCCACATTAAAAGACATAATCCTCATAAGTTAAAATTTAGGACGAAGCGATGCAAGTTTGTGGGATACCCCTAGGAAACTTGTAGGTATTATTTCTATTATCCCGAGGACCAAAATGTCTTTGTAGCTAAGAGAACAACGTTCATTCAGAATGAACACATTCTCGATAGAGATAGTGGGAGCATGATAAAGTTGAGCGAGGTTGGAGAACCTAACTCAAGCACCACTCTATAGCCTGAGTTTGTTCAAGTACCTAACACACATGTTCTGACTTTACGTAAATTCGACAGAGTATCCCATCCTCCTGAGAGATATGTAAGACATATTAGAGGAAAGGATGTTGAAGATATTGATCCTCAAACCTACGAGGAGGCTATTATAAGTATAAGCTCCAGGAAGTTGTATGAAGCCATGAATTCTGAGATTGATTCCATGTACTTAAACAAGGTTTGAAATTTAGTTAATACACCTGAATGTATTATACACATTGGCTGCAAGTGAATCTTCAAGAAGAAGATTAAAGTAGATGAAAGGGTGAAGACCTATAAAGCAAGGCTAGTGACTTATCATCGAAAATAAGGTGTTGATTATGACGAAACCTTCTCACTAGTAGCCATGCTAAAATCCATCCGAATTCTATTGACTATTGTAGTACACTATTATTATGGTATATAACAAATAGACGTGAAAATTGTATTCCTCAATGGTAATCTCGATGAAGAGCTATATATGATACAACCCGAGTGATTTCTATCCAAGGACAATCTAGATAAAGTGTGTAGGTTGCTTAGATCCATCTGTAGACTAAAGCAAGTTTTCCAAAGTTGAAATATAAGATTTGATGAGACGATTAGATTTTATGACTTCGTTAAGAACAAATATGAGCCTTGTGTATACAGGAAGGTAAGTAGGAGCACTATCACCTTCTTGGTGTTATATGTAGATGACATCCTGATCATTGGTAATAATGTATAAATGCTCTCCATGGTAAAAGCTTGGTTATCTAGACATTTCTCAATGAAGGACTTTGGGGAAGCATCCTATATCTCGAGAATTCGGATCTATAGAGATAGATCAAAAGGATTCTTGACTTATCCCACTCGAAGTATATAGACACTATTGTTAAAATGTTTGACATGAAAAATTCCAAGAGAGATCTCATACCGATGAGACATGGGATATTGCTTTCTAGGAGTATTTCTCCAAAAACTCCTGAAAAAAGGACGAACATGGATAGGATACCTTATGCCTCAACAATAGGGTTTATCATGTATGTCATAATACGTACCAGGCCTAATATAACGTATGCTCTGAGTGTCACGAGCATATATCATATGGATCCAGGCTTAGAGCATTGAAAAGTAATAAAGTATATTCTTAAGTACTTGAGAAGGACTAAGGATCTTTTACTGATATATGAAGGTAGTAGCCTCAGGGTTGAGGTCTCCACGAACTCAAGTTTTCAATCTGACGTCGATGACATCAAGTCTAATTTAGGGTATGTGTTCACCATGAATGGAGGAGTAGTATGTTGGAAGATACTGCTATTAACTCGACCACAAATCTGAGAGAGGGTCAGCAACAGAGGCAGCAAATGAGAGAGTCTGAATGAAAAAGTTAATTGCAGATCTAGGAGTCATGCCGAGCAGCGATAAGTCGATTCCCTTATATTACGACAATAATAGGGTGATTACTCAAGCGAAGGAACTCAGGTCTCATCAAAAGTCTAAGCACGTTTTGAGGAGGTTGAACCTGATCAGAGAGATTATTGCTCGAGGAGATATAGTAGTGGAAAGAGTTTCATCCGAAGATAACATCGTAGATCCACTGATAAAGCCACTGTCTCAGATTGTCTTTGAGTGTCACAAGAGTCTAATGGGGATTAGATGCATAGGTGATTGACTTTAGGTTAAGTGGGAGGTTGCCAGTCCTAGGTGCCCTACAAGCCGATCACGCAAGTGATGGCACATGTGACATAACACACTATTTTTCTTATTATGTTTTGATATTTTATTACTTTATATTGCTTGTAACATGAATATATCATGATGCTCATTGATCTGTGCAATGAGAATCAGATCGTGATGAGATCACGATAATTAGATCGATTCACCTTTAAACACAGACCCTAAATAATCCCGGTCATAGGTTACTCAAGAGGGATAACGAAATAACTGGATAAACTAGTATACTGTATACCCATCCATATGATGGAGGTAGCTAGTCTCATAGCTGCTTGTGTGGGGACACTAGGAATACAATGCATGTGCTCATTGAAGAATGAGTTCATTGATTGATCCACTCACGAAATGCTAGATGGTTGATGATACCTTATTGTCAGACATTGATTCCGTCATCCTAGTGGTATATCTGGTTCTTAAACTTAAGGCACTAAGGATGTCTTGTATGAGTACTCAACTCTTTGACGTTGGACTTATTGGCTTGAAAGTTCAAGTTCTAGCATAGTCGATTATCGGGAGTGGCAGCCAACCTTACGAGGGCTATTGAGTGTTGATAGAAGATCATTCGCTCTCGGTGTCATGAGAGGAATATCTCATGTATTCTTGCTTAGACAAATCCCTGACCAAGGTCATTCAGATTGAGAGATAAAGAGTTTTCCGAGAGAATCTACTTAGAGCGAGACTCGAGTAGAAACCATATGAGCTTAATAACATCATGCTCGGTATACGGTCTTTGAGATATTAGATGGATGAGGGACTATAGATACATAGTAACTAAGGATAGACATATCCAATAGATTGGTTTCCCTTGTATCGTCCGGGGACTACGGCGTAGTGGCATAGTACGTCCATAGTTGATAAGTCGAATGAATGATTATGTAGATAATAATTCATTGAGCCAGAAGGAGTTCTGATAGGTATGACTCACAGCCAACTTGATATTGGGCCTAGAGAGTTACACATATATGATAGGTGTTGCGACGAGTGGAGTTCAGATATGAGATATTCATTGGAGCCCATATCTTATTGGATATCCAATAAGCTCCTAAATTGTTGGATTCTATGTATGAGATCTAATAAAAGCCAATAAGAGATTATTGTGTATAGACTCACTAATCTAAGAGTCTTGGGTAGTTGGATGGAGATCTAGTACCTAATATGGTAGGATCCATTATGAGTAAGTTAACAAGGGATCTCTATAAATAGGAGGGAACTAAAAGGCCATGCGCCAGGTTCTTTTGGTTGTCACATCCTATTCTCCTCTCTCCCTCTCCTTAACCTGCAGCCCCTATTTGGGGTGTGTGGACAGTAAAAAGGGGCAGCTCCCTTTTGATTGTGTGGTGTGCGCAACAAGAAGGATTGTGTCGTGATGAGAGTATTCGTAGCCCATGGAATGTGGATCACCACTAGAGAGGATGATAGTTAACATCTTCATTCTTTCCCAAAGATCTGGTAGTTTTAAGGGATATACGATCTCCTTAGGTAACATATCTTTCTTATACGTACACTTTTCGGTTTCGCAGGTTTTTACGCATCAACTTTTGTATGATGATGAAACATTCTTTTCTGTAAAATTTTTTGGGATTTTTATTTTTTATTCTTCTACTGCGAATGTGATATCGCCCTAGATTTCCCAATAATATGTGTTCCCCTTATGCGAGTAGTTTAATTCAACATGCCTCAATGCCCTTGTGCATTGCATGTGTTTGACTCTCATTAGACGACTATCCAAATCAATGCATTGATTTGGAATCTTGATTTGAACTGCTCACATAGAAGATGTCAAAAGTATTAGAGACACAAGGGTACTAGAGTGTATCAACTTGAACCACCTATGTATAAGTGTTGAATTGATGAAACGCACGAGGATGGTTGGGGAATATCTATTTGAACAACGTTTATACACCAACATTCTCACACATCTCATTGGTTTGACTCCCCCTATAAGTTTGCAAGAATAGCCTCAAGTCAACATTAATCAATGCCCTCACACAACTCATGCGTCCCTACCCAAGTTTGCCCGAATAGCCTCATGTGCCTGATGCATTCGACACCACCTGTGAAGACGGTTCAAGTTGATACACCTTGATACTTTTGTTTGACTCATTCATCTTACTCCCCCTACATTAGCAGTTCAGGTTGGTAGTCCTCAATGCCCCTTAAGTTGGCATAACCCAACATGTTCAACACCCCTTATGTAAGTGGTTTCAATCGACACACCTCAACACCCTCGAATCACATGGGTTTGATTCCTCTTTCATGGACAATTTAAGTTGACAGGCTCTGATATTGATAATATCTCGTACATCCAAAACACCCATGTGAGCAGTTCAAATTGTCATACTTTAACACTCTCATGTGTCTCATTAGTTCGACACTGCCTATAAAGGCAATTAAAGTTGGCACAACCCATGCCTTTGTCTGTCTCATATGTTCAACGCCCCCTACAAGGTGATAGTCGATACTTTGATGTCTTCTCGTATCTCACGACACACCCAGTGGCTAAAGTCATTTCGCTAGACTCTCTCTTGCTTTTCATGCATGCAACACCCCTTGTGTAGGCCATTTAAGTCGGCTTGAACCAATGTCCTTGTGAGTCTCATGTGTCTGATACCACTCTTATGGGTGGTTGAAGTTGACTCTCTTGACACCATTGAGCATCTCGTGCATGTGACGTATGCAAATGGTCCAAGTCAACGCTAGTTGACACCCCCGCATGTCATACATGCGAGCAGTTTAAGTCGGCTTACTTTGATGCTCTTATGTGTTTTATGGATCGACACCCCCTACTTTATTCAATTCGGTAGGCCTTTATGCGCTTCTTCAACTTATGTATCCAACTCCTTTACGCGTGCGGTTTAAGTAGGCATTTGTAGGTGCCCTCGAGGGTCTCATATCTCTAGCTCTCACTATATAGGAGGTACAAATCGTCTGTGTCCTCACGCTCTCACATCTCATGCGTCAAACTCTCCTTACACAGGGATTCAAGTTAGCATACCAACACCCTCGTACACGAAGTGTTTCCAAGCTCCCCACGCTCTCAGATCTCATGCGTCAAACTCTCCTTGAATACACTCTCGTGCTGTCATGTTGTATGGTGCATTGGAATACACTCTTACGTCCCCATGACTCTCAGATACGTATAGTGTGATCGAGATGGTAATCGTTGAAGATTAGAGTAAGATCACAAAGCAATTCAAATGGAGTTTAGTTAATATGCACGCATGATCTCACTAATATCAACAAATTACTGAGTAAAGCCAAATGGGATGTGATCTCACAGAGTTGTTGTTGTCCTAAGACCATGAAAAATTACTTGAAATGAGCACGTCAAGAGACAGTGCAGGGGAAATCATTTACCCCCCTAGATTTATTGGCCTACCATCAACGGAAACATATCCATGATCTAAAACCTATAACACACCCAAATTGTGAACCCACTTTGCCCACAAGGAAACCCAAAAGCCAACTTCACACGGTATTCTTTGACTCAACATGCAATTGGGTATAAAATTGTCACAGCATTCAACAGATCAGATGACGATAAATAGATTCATTCTAATATCCTTGACATGAGACAGAAAAGCAAAGTACATTCACCAGTCTCCTCCAAAAGGTCCCATAGGACAGCAAACTGTGGAGAAAGGATAACACCCCAACCAGGCTCACCTTCTGTAAGTGCATCATGGCATACAAGAAAACCTGGAAAAGAAAATCACATGAGGGTGATATTTAAATACACAATCGGATATGAAAAAGAGGAGAGAAATGAGATGGTGTGAAATAAAAGACGACAATGAAGAAAAAGAGATGATGATGATGATGATGATAATGTACCTGGCCAAGGTTCATGAGAGACTGCTGCTCAAACATATGGTCGCCATCAGAAGTTGAAGCCAGATCTTAAGTTCAAATTGCCGCGAGAAGATAAAAGTGTTACTCTTTCAAGTCCATTCATGAGGCAACCACATAACACAACATACTTTACAAATCATGTAAAAGATGACTCCTATCTGCAGGAAAGCACCACTTGAGAAGAGGAGGGGCACTAAACAAAATAACAATGGTGATCAATTAGTTACCTGTTGAATAATTCTAGCTTACATAGAGGTGGATGATAGAGCTTTTGGTTCGAGATTTAAGTACGAAACTGCAATAAAAGAAGCATAGTTGAATAATACTTGCAGCAATCATACAGGCACATAATACAAAACTCTACAGGCAGTTAGGATAGTATGATGTTACTTAACTGGTGAATCATATTTTACTAACGTTACTAAATCAGACTCGCAATGCCCAGCTTATACAACAAACACTACAGGAGGTTGAAACTTCAACCAGAGAAAGATATATTATGAGAGCAAAAGTTGAAGGAAGCCTGGAAGTAACAAAAGGATTGATGTATAAAAGACCAGCAACTAAAATACAGAATACATATCTAAAATTCACTATTCCACCAACTCTGGCATCCTTCCACACGTCAAACACATTAGATGCATGTTGATACAGAAAGAAGACAAAAGCCACAGTAAAATTATTATTCTAGTAATGCATGCATGAATTTGAAGCACCAAAGTAGGAAACGGAGAGAGAAGATTGGTAAATTGCATCATTGGATACAACACGAGGAAGTGAAAGTATATTAATGCAGTTCAGTATTATTTCAGCCTGGGTTGGATCTAAACACAAATCTATTTTGTCAAAATACATTTAGGTCTAGCTTGTCCATTTCTGGAAACTATTTTTTTTAGGTTTTCGATAGAAAATTCAGCAGCCATTGGCAAGAAATAAAAGGCAGCCAGTGCTACAGTACTGCTACAGTAGAAAAAGTGTCTGATACCTAAATGTCGGACCGGTAACCATCGGTCCGCGTACCGAAAATCTGTCGGACCGGTACGTACCACCCATATCGGGCGGTACGGCTCGGTACGGCAAACCCTGGTGAAAATCATGATAACTCATGGGTCCCAAAGTGCCTATAAATAAAATCTTAAATGTCAAAGAATTTTCTCCAATCTACCAACCAATCATTAGAAAAAGAAATTTCTTAAACAATGCAGAAGGCTTCACTTAGATTGATAGTTGAGAATTATCTACCACCTCAGCAACAGCGATGTCTTGATGAACACAATGAAAAGGAGAAGATGAAAAGAGGGGGTCAGAGAAAGCCTTGAGGCCTAAAGTATTATGCAAGAGTCCAAGACGAGAAGAGTAGCATTAATTTATAGGACATAGACCATAACCAATCACTACTTGACGGTTACATCTGCTAGACACAAGATGCATTGTTAAGTTCCACCTAATACAAACAGGATAAAATTACAACTTCATTTTTGAAGATACAATAGCCTCAACATTGAACCCCAAGTAATATAACAATATACCCTACAAGCAGGTGGCATTTTGAGATAATATTGGAATAAGCATAAATTAGACTAAATTTGGCTTTATCATAAAAACCTATAATAGCTATTTCCTGAATCTTTATGGTAAGACACAGCACAAACAACGAGTCTTGCTGCACCAAGTTAGAGAAAACCTATCATAAGGTAATTCATACACCATCATTTAATTTTGTGCCCAATCTTAATACAAAGTTGGTCTCGTGTTTTAAAATTCTACCTGTACCAGTTGGTATAGGCTGGTCAAATACCCAATTATGGCATGAACCACACAATTTCACCCAATTAGATCCAGTATGAGCAGTCCTGTCAGGTAAATTCAAACATACTAGACTTCAGGCAGTAAATAGTTACCAATCTGTACTGGACAGTAGGGAGGCATTGGCTAGTCCAACAGTATACCGAGACATAGACCAATACCAGCCAAGAGCAAGCCTGGATACACGGTCACACACTGGTACCACACCGAACTCGTCGCTGACTGTTATCGGTAGCTAATTGAGATTTCAGTCCATGGTCCTATCCGGCATTAAGTAGTTTAGAAACCCAAAATTTGAAACCAAGCTATGGTCAAGAATAAAATCTCAACCATGAAAATCGAGAGTTGATGACAACAAATGCTTTAGCCACAAAGGCCTATACACAACCATTATTTGTATATCGAAACAATCATATGCATAGTTACCTTATATTTCAGATCTAGTTAATTATTTAGAAGAATAAGAAAATAAGAGTCGATTTAGTATAGAACGAGAGTTGATTTTTGTATAACAAGATATGTATGTTAATATCAAATTAACTGGAAAACAGCACAAGCACACAAAAAATAAACAATTTATGGAACCAGCAATGAGCACAACAATGTTCTGGGTTAAATCTAGTAGGGATAAATCAACTGAATTTTAGCCATCTTGTTCTGAAACAAAAATAGTTATGCATATCAGTCAAAACAATTGGAACTGAAGATTCAATAGGAAATAATAAATAACTGAAAAAACTGAGATAAAGCAAAAAAGAACTAAGGTTAGGGCTAGATGTCTTATTCATAAGTATTCTAATTCCATCCAGCCCTTCGCCACATCTAGCATGACCTGTGCAGACAAAGCCATTGATGGAAATTATATCTTTAAGTACAACATAGAAAGAAAATGTCATTGAAATTTAAAATAACATGTTTTTAACAAAGGAATAAGTAGAGCATACCTTTCTTGATTTAAAGTAGCAAGATAAGAAATATAAACTTTAAGTTGACCAAATGTGCTTCCTGTCTTCTCAACCTCCAACAACCTAAAACTAAAAGTTTTAGATCTCATAATGTAATGGTGCATACTATCAAAAGCAAAAAAGAGAGAAACAGATGTTACGATTATCCAACAATTCCTCTAAAGCTTGTCATCAGACCAGTTGCATCAGAATTTCTCATCTTATACTTATTATATAGCATTGGTTTCAGACAAAGAAGTAAAGTATTGTCAACAGCAACCAATAATTCAGAAGCAAGCAATCGCTCATTCCACACGATGACACAATAATTGATGTACTAAGTGTGAATTATCTAGTTTTCAAATACAGGTTTCCTACAAAGAAATATTACCTGGAAAAATGAGAGATCACAGAAGCAAATTGCTAATTAACTAACAAAATTGAGTGAAACAGATCGTCACAGCATAGAACAAAGTAACATTTAATATTTGCAAATGTCATATGTAGGTTTAATTTATTATGCATATCGGGCGAGCAGTACCTCTATTGAAATCAATATGCTCAATTCTGAAAATGCATATAAGCAACTAAACTTCTGTGATTTTCTGAGAAGCATTTTCTGTCAACTGCATCTCCTTTCATCATAGCTTCTTTATTCAGACACTGCACTGCCGTTCCAACACAATTACATCATCAACCAATATTAAAGTACAAATTGACATAAGAAGAAAGTAGTAGATAATGAAAACCTCACAAACACAATTAACAAAAGTAAGGTTCAAAATACCCATAAAAAACAAAGTTATCCATGAATAACTGTTAAGAGCTGTAGCCAACATACAGGGTACACTGTACAGAAGCAGTTCCCTCAAGATGATAAAGATGGAAGGTCTCGTAATGACACATAATCACAAGACACATTAAAGCTATGTACACAGTTGACAAACTTCAAGAGATAAAAAAAGAGTAACAGCCAACTCCAAAGTTGTACAGACGGCAAGTAATTTCACATGCCGGTTAGGTAAATATAGTCCAAAGTCATATATATACTTCATGCACAAGCTGCATATTTTTGGTTCTTAGTTGAGCTGATGAAAGGTGCAAAGCAATTAAAAATTACTCTTCATCGTGATCTTTCACAACATATATACACATATATTAATACACCTGCACTAGAACATATATTTACATAACATCAAACACTGTCCATAAGGTGACAATTTTATGCTAAAAGCATTATTCTTCTACAAAGTCTAGTGCTCTAATAATCTGATTATCATCTTTATAAACTATTTGCTATTGAAATGCCTTTTCTTTTTCCCACTTCTCAACTGATAACATGTCAAATCCTCTACTGCAACTTTGTTAGCTCCATCCAGTGTTAGTCAAACTCCTACACCATCTCCTATGTACTAATTTATAAATGCATAAAATTTCCAGATATTTCTATTCTTTTTGGTAGGACTTTCCAGAGAAATAAGTCATACTAAAAAGTAATGCTTGCATGTTGTATACATTAATTGGATATACAAAAGCTCTGACCAACGCCCACCTAGAACCAAGTACTATAAGCAATTCATACAAATTAAAGATCATCAATAGCAGCTCTTGGGGAACATGTGATCCTTGAAATTGACACATAATTTACAAACCTAGTTCAGTCACAATGCAATTTGTTCCCTGTAGTGAATCAAGATTCATTAAATTGGAAAGGATGCAAAGTACATACAAGAGCATCAGTGCAGCAGAGTAGAAAAATTTTTCCAGTTGTAAAGCAACATCAGCCTTAGTATCACATCATAAGAACACGAAGGTAACATGTTTTATCTTGCTTACAATTATGAGTAATAAACTCATCAGAAGCATACAAAACCCATTCTTTTCCTACTCTTAAAGCATCATGCAGTCAATTACCTTTTCACAAGAAAGATATTGATTACTCAATACTGGAAGCAACAATGTCCAACCGCATCAACCAGTCAACTCTTGCAAACACAGTATGAACCATTAGAAGTAATTACACTAAGGCATAGCCAACATTCAATTAATGCTTGGTATTAAATCCAGTCTTTTGGAGCACTGTTTACAATGTGCCAATTAGAAATTTGTTACATATACAAGCTTCAGGGGGAATTGATCATGCTAATATAAAAGTTTGATATCCCACACCTTAAAGGATGTGCTTTATAATTACTGCTGCTGAAGAAAAGGAAAAGCCCTGCAAGAGTTCTTGTTTTGGTCATAAAAAGAAAGATAATATCCTTTATGACCCTCCAACACCATCAATGGTGCCTGCTTAACAAGATTGTCAATTCTTTCCTGAGATAACGAAGTTGTGCATCATCACCAGCAATATATGTCTCACCTATGAAATTAGTGAACAAGAATTCCTAACTAAATGAGCAGGCAGAACTCACAGCCAAGACCCCAAAAGTTTTCTGTACATGTCCTCTAGCCAAAGAGGCTAGAAAGACCTAGTTCTTCTTGTTGCACTTCCTTCAACATTTGCTCTGCAAGTGGATCAGGGCTCCTCATTATTCTTCGTTGACGTCTGTATACCAAATCAGTCAAGGATCATGAATTTGTCACACATAAAAAGAAGGAAGCACATGTTTCAGCTGGAGCTTGTCAATTGAACAGAATTAGGCACCTGTCTTGTGCATGTTGAGCAGGGAAAGTAGGCATAAAATCCTTTGACTTGGGCAGAGGAACCTCATGGAACCAGCGATGGTTAAGGGCAGCCTCTGCTGTTATTCGCTACATCCAAAATAAGCCCCCAAACATTTAGGAGAACTAACAGGTGAGGACTATGATTAGTATGAAACACTTTTCACTATTTCAATACTTACCTTCTCAGGGTCATATGTGAGAAGTTTGTTTAGTAAGTCAAACCCAGCCTCAGACAGGGTTGGACGGCCAGAAAAAGACGTGGGAGGAAACTTTTCTCGTAGCTTATTATACCTGTAAGAAAAAAGTAACTCATCAAATGACAAAAAAATAAAAAAGACTTCACCCAAGCCAAGTGCTAGTGCCACCAAAGCAAGCCACAAAGCTTAGGTATGAGCATCGATAGCTCAAGGATTGGAAAAGGGTGGCACTAATAAGAATTCTGGAGAATAACTAAAGAATATAAATGCATGCAATGACCAAACAAGAACATGCAGCAGTAAAGACTTGGACTTACGGCTGCTTAGCAAATTTAACTTTAACGCCAGGTAGTTTAGCAAATCCAGGCCATATCTTCTCATTGGGGGTACCAAGTGTCCTAAATATCTGCAAGAAAGATTGTTATATCAAAGCAGATAAACAGCATTAGAGTAAGGATAGTAATGAAACTGATGTATTACAAAGAAAAACCTTGTCAAGTTGATCGAACTCAGTTTTTCCACTGAATAATGGTTCTTTTGCTAGAAGCTCAGCCATTATGCATCCTAAGGACCACATGTCTATAGAAGTTGTATACTCCTTAGCTCCTAGCAGAAGTTCTGGTGCCCTATCATAACAAAAGCAAAATTAGAAAGCTAAGGTGAGAAAACTAACTGAATTTAGAATTAATTATAGTTGATTGTGTCATCATATGATGACATATTATAAAATTATTCCCTCACCAACATCCCAAAAAAAACAAGCAGAAGCAGAAGAAAAAGAATGTGAAAGTGTACCAATATAGTACCACATACCTGTACCATAATGTCACAACCAAGTGAGTGTAAGGCTTCAATGGGCTGCCATATTGGCGAGACAAACCAAAATCACATATTTTCAACTCTCCACGATTATTTAGAAGAATATTAGATGTCTTCAAATCCCTAGAGGAAGGAGAAAACATCCAACAGATAAGAATATCTAAATAAAAATAGAACTCAATACATGATAAAGCTAAAAAAACGGAGAGTACCTATGGAGAACCCAGTTATCATGAAGGTACTTGACACCTGAAAAAAGCTGCAACATTAAGCATTTTACCTCGCTCTGGCTAAAGGGCTGTTTCATAGTCTCCATCAACCCTTTTAAATCATGTTCCATATATTCCATAACCATAAAAATACTATCAAGGCTGCTACCAATGACAACTTCCTTAACATCTACAATTGAAGGATGATGAAAAGATAACAAAATATTTATCTCTCTAAGGGATGTCAGTGGAAAACCCTCCCTCTCCTTCTCCATTTTAACTTTTTTAAGTGCCACTATCTCCCTGCTCTTTTTATCCTTTGCTCTGTACACAACACCATAGGTGCCTTCATCTATTTTGTTCAGCCTCTCAAACTCATCCACGCTTCGACATCCTTGCAACATGTTTATACATCTTTGAGGTGGCTGTGCTGGCCCCAGCATCTTGGCCTCATCATCTTTGCCCTCGGAGTCGGTATTAGAGAGTTGATCACTTGTGTCTGTATCATACTCATCGCCATCAACATCCATATAATCATTTCTGTCATTCCCAAGCTCCCAGTCAGCATTTCCATACTTTCCCTCTGAATCAGATAGCTTACATGGAGACCCACCTGAGTTTACTCTCACAATAACCTCGCCTAGCTCAGGAGTTGGCGTCTTTTTCTGCATTTGTTGCCTTCCCAAATCAGATAAAGGTGTGGCCTTCCTCCTTTTGGGCACAAGATCATCCTCAAAAGGTTTATCTTCATCGTCATTAAGAACACTGTTTCCATCTGCCCATCTGGAGAAAGAAATACTCCGAGCTGGTGCAAGTTCCTCTTCGTAGTCATCTACTAACCGGGCCTCCTGATCAGGATCTACCAACTGTTCTTGTGGTGAGTCTGCAGGGACGTCTACATCTATATCTACAGGTGACATATTCACAGCACATGGTAGAACAACCTCGATGGAATGTGGTGGTACAAAACCCTCAGGCAGAGGAGGTGGCGGAGGCAGGTTAACTTGCTCAAACTTGTTGCACTTGTTTCCGAAAGTAGCAACAGCAGATTTCTTATCGTCATCCCTATCCCAAATGATTGGAGAAAACTTCCTTTTCCTAATAGACATGGAAGAATCACCATTCTCCTTATCCTGAGTCCCATTCTCCCTAATTTTTGATATGGGTGCTTCAGCATCATCTGATCCACTCCCACTGGACAACTCCCCAGCCTCACGGTCAACATCTCTCCCAGAAAGGTGATTGATTTTCTGACTATGACTGCTTCCGCCGCTCAAATTGTTCAACGGGGAGCTGTAGGAGCCATTCACCGCACCCATCTCCCTGATGTCTTTTTGCCTGACACTAATCCTATCACGCACATCTCGGCTATGGTCCCCATTACGACCTCCATCACGGAGACCATCCCGATAATAATCCTTCCTCCTGGAGACCTCAACATCTGTTTCCCGGTCCTGCAATCTATTATCTCGGTAACCACCATGTCGACCGGCCGCCATAACACAAGAACCACCTATAGAGGGGACTGGGGTGGGTTGACCAAACCAAACCCTAGAAATCAAGAAAGGGGCGAAAGAAAAGACAACCCTAAGGGGCAAAGGCCTGAATTCACCTGATGAGGATGATATAAAACCCCTTATAAATCGCAGAACGGGAAAGTTCAGATGGAAGTCGAATCCATAACACGAGGCGAATTCCTAAGGAATCAACGAATCTAACACCCAGAAAGCGCGGAAGAGAGCCCGATCGGGATGGAACCAATCAACAATCTAGAGAGGAGGAAGTAAGAGGAGTGGGAAAACAGCGTGGAAACTGACCTACAGAGCAGACCGAGGAGAATTCCCCGAGCGCCGATGGCCGAGAGCAAAAGGTTCTCGACAGACGATCGAGGCGAGGGTATGCTTCTTTAATTAATTATATATATATGTATATATTAAATAATATATAAAATAAGATTGATTTAGTTTATTCTTTTATTTCATCAAAACCTAAAAAAGGATTATGATGTTAAAAATTTAAGAATAGTCGTAAGAATATTCGGGATATTATATTTTTATTCTATTTAAATAATGGTTAATATTAATAATTAAAATTATATTTTGGATGGATGTCGGTACGAAGGAATCAAGCAAACAGAACTCCCATGACTGCTCGAAGCCAAGCTAGTTCGGGTCGGGTCGGGTCGGATCAGGTCGGGTTCGAGTCAAATGGTTCGGCTTTGTCGCAATTTAGCGGTTAGGTTGGATCGAACCGTGGTTTAATATCACCCACTTTCTTCGTGGACCGTGAGCGGCCGCGGTGTGCGTCTGCGGACTCCGCCGGCTGTTCAGCTCTTTCCGTCTCTCCGGTCAACTTCGCATTCGATTCTCTTTCGGACATCAGAGAGAGAGAGAGAGAGAGAGAGAGAGAGAGAGAGGGAGACCTTTACTTCGTTAACGTTGGAGTTTCACCATGAGATCGGTGGCTACCGGACTTATCCTCAAGAGAAAGCTTGCGGATTTCTTCTACACGTGTTCCCGCAGAAGAGTCCTTGGCTGCTTCTCCTCGTCCTCGTTCGGCACCGTCGATCCAAGGAAGAGTAACGGCAGGGGAGGAGAGGAAAAGGAGGTGCCCCACTTGCCAGTCCTGATCGTCGGCGCTGGCCCCGTCGGGCTCATCCTCTCCATCCTTCTCACCAAATTGGGTGCGCGCATCTTCTTCTCCCCCATTATTTTTTGGCTTTCCCTTGCTGGATTATGGAAGTGAATGCAATCGAGGAAAGGGAGTGGAGCGATCCTTGCTTTCTCTTCTCCCCCTTTAGGTTCTTATAGGAAGCACGGGATTTTGGTTGCGTCGATATCATTGTATGCTTAGGCTTGCTGAACTGGAAAGACTTTTTCCCTGTCTTAATATGCTCTTAGAGGTCTTGATGATGGTTTCTTTTGATGCATTGAAGTACTTTCTTGGTAGGATCTTTTCCGTCTAGCAATGAGAACCAAGTTTAATCAAGCCACAAAGCACATTCATGGAGGAGGCATAATGGATGATCTTGGTGGCTGGTTGATTTATACTTGTGAGAGCAAGGAATTATTGAATATGTTGATCAAATGTTGCTCTTAGCAAGAAGATGTTGCAATCTGAATATTGTCTTTTGATTGGATTAAGGTGTTTTTGATAAAAATGGCCATTAAACATACCTTAGATACATCATAATGCTTAGAGTAGTGCATGTTTTTCAGTGCTATTTTAAGTTAAATAATTTGTTTCAGTTTGTAGGAATGATCACCCAACCTTATTATGTGAATTGGTGAAGGTCAATCAAAAAAAGATTTAGACTGAAATAAAGAGTCAGCTTGTTGTTTCTAATTTAGGACAGGATGTTGCACATAATTGAATTGAGAAGGATGGTTCTGTATGCAAACTATGATTCGGGTGGTAGTTCCATGATTGGGTTGAGAGGTTTGAAGACTAGGCTGACAAAGTCTTGGGTGAGAGTTCCTGAGCTAGAGATCAAGCTCTAGGAGTTTAAAGGATTCAGGTACTCTCTCCAAGCATATCCCTAATTTTGTGAAGCATTTATGTTAACTTCTTTTCTAATAAATATGCTAGGAATTCTGATTAATTGCCTGGCGTCATTTGTCATGTTCTATAATGTTGTAAAACTTTGTGCCAAGTCACAAATGATATTATGTGTTTATAATATTCTATCTTTACCTCACTTGTATCATATTTATTTTTTATTATTATTAAGATTTGATGCATTGGTTCATTGTATGAGTGTACCAAGCTATAATGGTATCTTGTCATTGTCAATTATTTAAAGCATTTAACGCAGGCTCAAATTGGTTTCTTTTCAGCTTTATTACTAAGTCCAAGATGTAAGTGTTAGCAAAGTATGCCGTAGTTCCTTTTCCCTTTCAAATGATGCTGTAGAAAAATATATAGTTATTTGCTCTATATTTTTGTTCTGCTCTAACATGTATTTTTACATGATGGCACATTTAAAGTAACGACACTATTTTTCGATGCACATGGACAGTAAGATTCCTCTTGGGTCTTAAAGTGTTAATAACTAACTCAGGATAACTACTCAGATAAGTACACCTTGCACTAAGTAAAAAGCAATACACTAGTGGTTATTAACTGTCACTCACTAAAGCATGTTAATTTGAACCATGGGAGGTGCTCGTCCAACTGCTTGACAAAATCAACCTCTTCCTTGCTGCTTTCAATTTTCAATTATTGGTGGTATTACCAGTATTATTGTTGAAAAAGGAAAACACAAGAAAATGATGATGAACACCTCATTGTTGATCACTCATGCATTCAATAATAAATAGTTCTGATCAATTCATGAAGATGATCCTTTATGAACTTCTGTTGATGGAGAAGTTTCTTTTTTGTAGCATGAATATATTTTGTTTAATTGGAATATATTTGGTACATTCATGGTTTACAATTTTGGGTACCGACATTTTGATATAAGGTATGTCTGCATACCAATTGGCACAAATGAGGAGAAGAAGGAGAGCCAGAAAAGGAGGAGGAGAGGAGAGACCCTGGGTAGTAGCACTGGCTAGCAGTGGACAATGGTGGCCATCAGTGGGATCGAGAGTCGATCTTTTTCCCATTTTGGCAAGAGCGAGAGATTATATTATTAGAAACTCTATAGCTGTCAGATTAAAAAAGAACGCCAAATCCGCATGGGCTTACTCTCCTGTTCACACTTGGATACTAGGCAATAACACTGAACCAGATGCAAACCTCCCAAAGTGGCTTGGTTTACATCCCAGTTCTCCATTGAACCAGTTTTTACCATCAGGTGCATGCCAGTCCGGGCAGTTTGTAAATCATGGATACATTTACATATTCGCACCATGCATGAAAAGTTAGGGCCATTGTAGTTGCATATACATGAACACTATTAAAGCTTCTGAGTATGCCTAACGCCTTTTGCGTATTTTTAACATTTATTGTAATAGATGTTGACCTTGTGTATTGATTATTTAAATTATGGTATTTTGTGATTTGTAAGTTATTTTTGTTGCCTCATTATTTTTGTGTGGAGATAATATATATGGGTTTTTCCCACCATTTCGTAGGTGTCAAATGCTCAGTTTTGGAGAAAAGTGTGGTTTTTTCTCGACATCCACAAGCCCACTTCATTAACAATCGGACCATGGAGGTTTCTGCTTTTGTCATTTTCTAAAATTAATATTCAGATTGAAGTTACATGATTAACATTTATTTGTGGTTATTTTATTTTAAATAGTCTACTGGTAGGTAAAAGCAATTTGAATGCTAATGGAATTAGGATCTGTTCTTTGGCTATTTACTGTACTCGCACACCATTTCTTAGTGACATCCCTTGTAAGAGAATATTGTCATATCAAGATTTTTATGTGCTATCTTGGCAATGTTGTAATTGAAGCATCCTATAGCTATTCCGCAAACTAGATGGTCTGGCAGAGGAAATCCAGAGTTTGGAACCACCAGTGGACTTGTGGAGAAGGTTCATATACTGCACTTCTTTGTCTGGTCCAGTTTTTGGATCTGTGGATCACATGAAGCCTCAAGGTTTGTTTTGAATTTACCATATATTCCAACCAAATGCCTGTATCCCTTTTATGGATTATGGTTGGCTAAAATATTTTTTTTGTTTGTTATATTCCTTATAGACTTTGATAAGACTGTCAGCCCCATTTCTGTTGCACACTTCTCACAGTACAAACTGATGAATTTGCTACTTCAAAGGCTTGAAAAGCTTGGCTTTTCTGTTTGCTCTCCCAGTGAAATTGAAGGCTCGATATGGGATAGGAAAATTTTAATGGGCCACGAATGCATTTCTATCCACCCTACAAATGAAGGTTTAAAAGTAGGAACTTCCTATCTAAAGGAAGGGAAGATGGAAGAGCGAGAATTTCATTGCTCCATCCTAGTTGGGTCTGATGGGGCAAGAAGTACAGTTCGAAAGCTGGTTGATATAGATATGAAAGGTGAACGTAACTTGCAGAGACTTGTCAGTGTGCATTTCCTAAGCAAAGATCTTGGCCAGTACCTGCTACATGAAAGACCTGGAATGCTCTTCTTTATTTTTAATCCAGATGCTATTGGCGTTCTTGTCGCACATGATCTGGACCAAGGGGAGTTTGTGCTGCAGGTAGAGCAGTTGATGCTGAAAGTGGATCTTAAAACTTTGATTTGACATTTGATTGTGGAAAGTTCCTAGATGTATACTGACCTAATATGCATCACTTGCATGGAAGTCAGCTATTCAATATTTTTCTGTTTGTGACAAAGGTCTAACTTCTTTTCTTGCACCTTTTAGATACCATATTATTCTCCTCAGCAAAAAATTGAGGATTTTAGCTTCAAGGTAATCTATAGGTGATTTTCCATCTTACTTTTGTTCTAGTTTCTTCCTTTCATATATTTGATGCATGTACTGTCTTTGGCCATCAATTACTATCGTTGCCATAATTTATTGGCTTTATGCAATAGTGAAACTTTGGTCTCTTTTTGTGCCTGCTCAGTCATATTTGTACTCTTTTGCTGCTTCATCGATTTGGAGACATGTATTGTCTTTCGTTAATTCTCTAAGAAAATATTAAATTTGATATAGAGTTCATCAATCAAGAAGGATATTTTTCCAACATAATGAGGGTGCATTGCCTGTGCACGTGCTAGGATGAGTGAGCAGGCACTTTGAAACTTCCTATTTCTCACCTACGCCACTATAGGTCTCTATCATTATGGATTAAAAAATAAATAAAAAATATTATATTGATGATCCTGATTTTAGTGGAACTCGAATGATAGGAATTGACATCTGCATGTAAATATTCAACACTTGATTGATAAACAATTAATGTTCAGAGCAAAATTTTGTATCTGGCTCTATCATTTGCCA